GAGGGAACAATGGTGGTTGTTCCGTTCTCCTGGGCTCAGACCCTTTTCTGGGATCCTGGGCTGTGAGCCCTGTCCTGGTCCACAATCGCCGCCTCACTGGCTCCGCCAGCCGCAGCTTGCGTACTCAGGGATCACCGCTGCATTCTTGCACCCCGGATGGCTGTTGTGCCGATTTCGTGCCAAATTTTCCCCCACCTCCGAGCACCGCCGACCTGCGCCAGCCCCGCGCCCGCCCGGCTCGTCTTCTCCTACCAGTCTGGATGTACGGGTCTACTTCAACTTCTTGGCTGTCCGACTTCCATTCAGATAAATCCTCTATCAGTTCTGGGTGTTATTCTGTCTGTAAATTATTGTTGTTCTAATCTTGGTTGTGTGAGGAGGTACGGTGCGTCCACCTATTCCTCCATCTTGCCCTGTTTTTCTTTTTAGATTCAGTTATTAACAGCTGTGAGTTTGTTGTCATTTTACTGTTCATATTTTCGATCTTCTTTTTCTTAGATAAGGCCCTTTGACATTGCATATAATAAGGGTTTGGTGATGATGGACTCCTTTACCTTGACCTTATCTGGGAAGCACTTTATCTGCCTTTCCATTCTAAATGATAGCTTTGCTGGATAGAATGATCTTGGATGTAGGCCCTTGCCTTTCATGGCTTTGGATACTTCTTTCCAGGCCTTCTTGCCTGCAAGGTCTCTTTTGAGAAGTCAGCTGACAGTCTCATGGAAACTCCTTTGTAGGTAACTATCTCCTTTTCTCTTGCTGCTTTTAAGATTCTCTTCTTATCTTTAATCTTGGCTAATGTAATTATGATGTGCCTTGGTGTGTTCCTCCTTGGGTCCAACTTCTTTGGGACTCTCTGAGCTTCCTGGACTTCCTGGAAGTCTATTTCCTTTGCCAGATTGGGGGAGTTCTCCATTATTTGTTCAAACAAGAGTTCCATTTCTTGCTCTTCCTCTTCTCCTTCTGGCACCCCTATGATCTGGACGTTGGAATGTTTAAAGTTGTCCTGGAGGTTCCTAAGCCTCTATTTATGTTTTTGAATTCTTGTTTCTTCATTTTGTTTTGGCTGAATGTTTATTTCTTCCTTCTGCTCCAAACCATTGGTTTGAGTCCTGGTTTCCTTCCTGTCAATGTTGGTTCCCTGTACATTTTCCTTTATTTCACTTTTCATAGGCTTCACTTTTTCCTCTATTTTGAGACCATACTCAACCATTTCTGTGAGCATCCTGATTACCAGTGTTTTGAATTGTGCATCTGATAGATTGGCTATCTTTTCACTGTTTAGTTGTATTTTTTCTTGAGCTTCGATCTGTTCTTTAATTGGGCCATATTTTTTTTTTGTCTTGGTGCACCTGTTACATAATAAGGGAAGGAGTCTTAGGTATTCTCCAGGGCAGGGCAACCCACATCATTGCACTGTGGTGCTCTATATCAGGGAGGGGTCCAAGAGGGAACAATGCTGCTTATTCAGCTCTCAGCCCATTTTCAGGCACTTCCCCTATTTCCCACAAGCAAACGGGGCCCTTCTGGTGCTGATTCCAAGTGGGTGGGCTTGTGTACATTCTAGGACCCTGTGGGTCTCTCTAACAAACTCTCCTGTGAGGCTGGGAATTTCTTCCTCTGCCTCAATCCCCATAGTTTTTTTCCAGTCAGAGGTTTTGAGGCTTTATTTCCTTGTGCCAGAACCCTGGGTTGCACAGTTTGTGTCGCTCCACAGTTGTTCCTCTTGGTTTACCTGTACACAAATGTGGGACTGCCTGCTCCACCAGCTGCTGCCTTGCTGCCCATCTCCACCCCTCCTACTGGTCTGGATGAGTATTTCTTGTTTAACTCCTTGGTTGTCAGACTTCCATACAGTTCGATTTTCTGTCAGTTCTGGTTGTTTTATTTTTAAATGTGTTGTTGTCCTCCTTTTGGTTATGGGAGGAGGCAGTGTATCTACCTATGCCTCCATCTTGGCCAGAAGTTGTTATTGCAGTTCTTTTGTTGGAAGTGGAGCTGTTAAATCAGTGACTGATGTTACTGTGTGACATTACCTATCCAATGTTTTTCACTGTTCTTCATTGTCAAAATACTACTGAAAGGCTATTGTTAATAGCTTCAGCAATATGTTTGAATTCTAAGAGAAAATATTCTTATCATAATTGCATACATTGTAAGTGGAAGTGTATAATTTCCTTAAAGAACAATTTTCCCCTAAATTCCATCTCTGTAATTAAAATCTAGGTGTTTTGATGCTTAGTTTATTAAAAGTTATGGGTGTTTATAAGGAATAGGAATTCTCTATTTTCTTGATGATATGAATATAGAAATGTATAAGGGAGGTAGAAATATTAATTTATGAAATGGAAAGTAAAGATAAGTGAGGTTGAATTATGTTTAATCTACCCTTGCAGTAGTGAACAAAGCCTTTTGGTTTCCTTTCTCCTTTCTGCACTGCTTAATTTCACAGGTTCTAGAATGGCTAGTTCTGTGGGGAGTGTTTTTTTATTTTAATAATGACTCTCAATCAAATTAGTACCATCATTTAAGCTTTGATGGTAATTGCCGGGCTTCTGCAGTAAATGTGAGCAAATTCTTCATGCTTTTCACTTTTGTGATTTCTTTTGACAATGTAGCTTCATAAATGGTGCTATTTATATTCAATTCCACTTTAATAGAGTTCTCTCTTCTTGAGGCAGTGCAGGAATGTGAGTGGGGACTTGTTACTCAGTGATAAATTCTATAATGGCGTAATAATTTAACTCTAGAAAGCACATAAAAGAAAACTGTCTCTCTCAGGACATCCTTAAATTGCAGTCTGTTGTGAAAGGTATTTCTCCCAGAGACTTGGTTAAAGCTTTGTGGGTTCTGTGGTTATTCATGTATTATGACTGTACTCTTTCCCTTCAGGATAAACCCTTTTTGTAAGTTGGCCTTTATGATGTCTCTTACCTGTATAAGCTCTGAATTCCACTTGTTATTTTCTTTGGGATAACTGGTGCTTTTTTTTTTTTCTTTAAGGAGGAAGAAAACAGTTCTCATTTTGGGCGGACAGACTTGGTCAGCCTTGGGCAGACTGTAAATGATTAGGAATTGATAGAGCCTGAGTTAAGTCCTTTTTTAGTATTTTGGCCTTTGAGTTTCCTTTCCACAGAGAAGACTTTGCAAAGGCATTTCTCCAGGAAAGCAGGGGAGCTAAGGGCTGTGGATACAGAGATTTAAATCCTTTCATCCAGTGTACAGACATGGGAAGGTGGGGAGAGCATACACATGTCTTTTATATCAAACCCAAGAGCAAGAATTATATGCCCTCTAACTTTAGATTCCAAAAAAATTTAGGCATCCTGTTTGTGAGGCTGTCCCTTCTGACTTAGTACTTTTTTTTGTACAGAGAATACTTTCAAAAATTTTTTTCTTAAATTTATTGACTTGAGAGTCATAGGGTGGGAGGGAGAGAGAGAAAATGAGGGAAACAAGAAATGCCGATTTGTTGTTCCACTTATGTATGCATTCATTCACTGGTTGCTTCTTGTGTGTGCCCTGATGGGAGACTGAGCCCACAACCTTGGTGTATCAGGGCAACACTCTAACTAACTGAGCTGCCCAGCCAGGGCCCAAAGAGTACTTTAAAATTTCTTTTCCTTTTTAGTATGATATTGATAGCTAGGACTGAGTTTTATTTCCAAGACAGCACCAGGGGGTGAACCACCTGTGGCCTGCATGTGTCCCAACACAAAATCGTAAATTTACTTAAAACATCATGAGATTTTGTGTGTGTGTGATTACATGTCGCAATGTATTTAATGTGTGGCCCAAGACAACTCTGCTTCCAATGTGGCCTGGAGATGCCAAAAGGTTGGACATCCCTGCATAGACCAATATTCTGGTTCACTTGGATATAAGTGTTGGGAATTTTAAATGAAAAGATAGAATTTTGTGAGGAAGATAACATTTAGCCCAATTATACAGAGTGAGGAATACAACATTTTAAGGTATTTTTTGCTAAAATGGAAGCTGTGAAAGAAGAAACGTTTTAAAAAAGTCTTTTGGCAGCTTGCTCCACTCCATTGGCAAGCTGTAGAGGAGGCCTGTTCAAGAGCTAAAACCACAAGTGTGTTCGGGTGCAGAGGGGCCTGGTTATGGCTGAGGAACCCTAAGCTGAGGGGGCCGATGCCTAAGTATCCGAAGAAGGTGGCTGCTGTAAATCTGTAGGATCTGGGAAACCACTGATATCCATTGGTTCTTCTTATGCTTTTTATTCGTCAGATCACTTTAAGAAAGGCTTTTATTGTTTAAAAAAAACAAAACCAAAAACAAACCTCCACTAGGGATAGGAAATAGGTATCATTTTATAGGTAAGTAAATGGTAACCTCTGAAAATTTGGGGGCTGAGTGACATAACTTCATCAGTGCTTCAGGAAGATGATCTTCAGCATAACAGAGGGTTGGAGGGCTGGGAGGACTGAAGACAGGAAGATTAGGTAATAGGCTAGCACAATAGGCCTTTCACCTTTTATCCTCATGGAATTTATAAGACCACGGCCAACTTTGTAGCCACAGAGTGATGGTTACATACTCAGATGAGACAATGTCACAGGAATGTATTTTGTGAGTTGTCAGTATGAAGTTTGTTACGGTGGTGGTGGTATCCTTCTGTTCCTTTCACAGGAAGTGTTTTCTCCCTTTTATTTGATGCTGGTCTAGAGGCTGGATTACCTGGGTGCCACTTGGGCTCCAAGACTATATAACCTTGGGAGAATCACTTCTTGGTTTTCCTCATCAGAAAAAAGAGGTATAATTCTTCTATAAAATTATTTCACACTTACAGCTTCTAAGCAAAATGATTATTTTGATTCCAGTGGCGAATGGCAGTCTGTGTATATCCCACAGGCATCCTTTTATCTGTGTGTGCTGGTAACTTTGAGGAGAGAGTGAGACAGGATACAAGTTAAAAAAGAGTCTACTCTTTTATGATATTTAAATATTTATTTAAGTTTAAAAATAATTTTCATGGCACCAATGATTTTATGCTAACTACATACTGAATATGTAGAAAAAAGTACATTGCTTTGGAGGAAAATGTAACTGAGATTTTTTGGCACACGAAAGGTTAACAACTATTTTTTAATGAAACTAAGAAATTCACATTTGCAGGTAGTTTACCCTCTACTGCTTAAAGATGCAGTACACTATTCTTTAGTAAGAGTTTTATTTCCTCTGATAGATGAAGCTATGGAAACCATTGCTTTTTCAATGAGATCAAATTAATTGAGAGAAAATAAGAGACAGAGTGGAACACAGTAAAACCAGGTTAGAAACTTGAACAATTTTTAATGATGGGGAGATATCAAAAAAGACTAGTCACCAACAAAGGAAGTTTGTTATTCAAGCACTATTTGAAAAGCAAATTGAAGGAAACCTTTCTATCGGTATTTTCTGGGATAAGCCCTGGAAAACAATTAGTCTGAAAGTTTCTATTCAGAGAGAAAAAATCTAGCTGTTGGAATTGGTGTGGACTATTGTACTGTTAGGACTCTAGACACAAGAAATGTACCCAGAAATGGGATACTACATCATTTTCTAATGTGAATATGAATGGTCAGAGTCAAGGCTATTACTCACTGCATAGAAACACCATATTCTACAAACTGAGGTAGGAACACTACACTAAAAGGTAATCTGCTATGTTGCATAAGACAGTAGATATCCAGGTTAAAACCGGCCCCCTATCTCCTGACAGCCTTTTCATCTCTGAGTCTACTTTTTCCACTTTAATTCTGTACTAAATAAAGCCTTTCCTATGTAGATGGCAAGTGGCAGTGGCTAGTTAATTCTAAGTGATCCCTAATCTTCACTAGGATCTCCCTCGGTTTGTCTTATCTCTTGGTAAATAGATGTTTGTAATTCTGCCCAAATTGTTGCTGGTATGGAAATGATCAGACAAGCCCTCTTCCACTCTTAGATTCTGGCCATGTTTTAGCATTCCAGTACTTGGTCTTACTCATCTTGGAATCAGACATCTCTTGCTGGTTGGTTGTTCGAGCACCCTGGATCTTTAACTCACGCCAGGAACTGGAGCAGAGCCGACCCTCTTTCTGCTAGCTTGGGAGGGGGCAGTTTTATTGTGTAAATCAGGGTTGGCAAATTATGGCTTGTGGGCCAATCAGCTCACCATCTCTTTTTATAAATATAAAGGTTTATTGGAACACAGGCTTGCTCCTTCATTTACATATTTATATATACCTCTGGCTGTTTTTGTGCTACAACGGCAGAGTTCAATAGTTGCCGTAGAGTATGGCCCACAGAACCAAAATTAAAAAATTTACTACCTGGCACTTTACAGGAGAAGTTTGCCAACCCCTGGTCTCAATGAAGGGGCATTTAAAATTATGTACCCCTCCGCCCACCCCAAAAGAAAAACCCCATTTTATTCAAAGGCTGTTACATTGTATACACGGACATGGTTCTGCCATCTCAGGGGACAAACCAGGGGCGAGCAAATCTAAGTGACTCATTCTGTTCTCATTTGGGACTGCCCACCACCAGAAGGTGTCAGCAGCTGCTCCATATTGTGTAGGGTCACGGGAATTGTCCACTCACCGTCCTTCAATAAGTCCTCAGGCCCCAGATGACTTAGAAATCACTCCCTGAGATGAAAACAAGATCTCACATGTGAGTGTTTATAACAGTTGCCGAGCTCGAACCTTGGACCCCACACTCACCCTTTCCTGCTATGCTTCTGCATGCTTCCGAGGCTTCCCCCAGCAAGGATGGCAAGTGCTCTTTTCCTACAGCTTTTATTTTCCTCATGCAGAGGGTGACCCTAGGGGGCAGTATTTCTACATCTAAGTGTTGGTCTCTGCCACGTTCACCTTCTTTCTTGGTAGGCATCTGTTAAAACTCCTATTTAAAGAGATTCTTTTCCTGGTCCCTTCCAAGGCTGTTTGTTGATCTTGGAATTCTATTTTCTGAGGCTTTTCATTCTCAGGATCAGTTTCTTTCTTGCATCGTTTAGTTCGTCAGGCTCTATTTTCTTAGTCCATAAAGTAAAAACAAAATATGAATTGATAAGAAAATAACATTTTGTTGCTAAAATATAAGTTGAAATAGTCTTTTTTTTTTTTTTTTTGCTGGGGAGGGGCTTGTACAAAATAAGCACTGCTCTCTGACTCTCAGCAGTCTCAGGTACCTCAGTTCTGGCTTCTGTTCACTACACTTTGTCCAACGTTTCTGACAATTCCTATCTCTAGTACCACCAAATTCATCTAACGCCCCTGGAGCACTCTACAAGTCTTGAGGTTCTTCAGAAAAAAATTACAGAAGGTAAAGTTCATTATACAAAATTCACGGTGATGCCCACTAGGATCTAGTCTAAGGGGACAGACTTACCCCACCCCTGCTGCTGCTGCTGCTGTAGCGCTGGTCCCTTCAGATGCCCACTGTGCTCAGATTTGGGGGGAAAAAAACAAAAGGAAAAGAAAATCCAGCTCAGACCATCATAAGAAGCAAGTTTCCATTTAATCATTCTACAGGATGTTTACTTTTTAAAAAGCTGTGTCTGGCAAGAAAACTTAGCCCCTGAGGCTGCTGTGACGAGCCTGCCGGAACCCAGCAGGACAGCTCCTGCAGAACACACGAGACAACAGCTCTCTAGTCCTCAACTAGTGTCCCACCTGCTGGGTGACACTGCTGTGATCATTGGTAATAGTAAAATAAATTATTTTTATTTGATACTTTCAAAATAATACACATCTATGAAAAATCAAAATTCAAAACCAAAAGTTATCCTGCAAGTTGGGAGGATGAGAAAGAGTCGCCGAGCCTTTCTTGAGAGAACCTCTGAAGGAAATGCGCTTTCCCAGTTTGCTTAGACAGGGCATGAGCCTATCCCTCTCTTCTTCTGGGAGACAACCCTCCTAGGCTGTGGACTTTTGAGTCATGAAAGGAGGACTTGGTACATGTGCCGATGGTTCCGCGATGGGTCCCATTGCTGGGAACAGGTAGCCGGGCTCCTTGGTCCACCTGGCTAGTTACTGGGAGGAGTCATGCCTTCTCAGGTGTCAATGAGCAGGCTCACCACTGAGCGGATTTTGCAGGCAAACCATCGCCTGAGGGGACAAAAGTATTGATAGTGGAATTGTTCAAACTCGGGAGTCTGGCGGATATCGCGGAAAAAGGCAATGTCAAGGTCAGACTCGGTAAGGATGATCAGGAGGAGGAGCAAAACAAAGAGGAGTCCCATGGTCACAAGGAGCAAACGGAGGACACTTAAAACAAACTTATTCACCTGTTCCTCCTCTGGCCTGCCGTGCCCCTGACACAGGGCCCTCAGCTCTCCCCCAAGGGCCTCCACATCGGCAGCAGTTGGGGTGCTGGCCTCAGACTCCTTCTCCTCCTCGATGCTGCAGGTGGCCCCATTGATCTGCCGGGAAAGCAGCATCAGCTCCAGGCTGTGCTCGGCCACAGGGGTGGGCAGCACACTGTCTGCAGGGCTGTAGGCCTCGTCCGCAATCACTGCGACTCGCTCATTGCTGTCTGCCCGGCTGCTTCTCACGTGAGGCAGGAAGGTGTCCCCGTGAGAGGAGGAACGCACCGGGGTGGAATGGGCACTGTCCCGGAGGGACTCAAGGCCTGGAAAGGAAAAAGGAGCATGAGTTGGCTTTCTGTCCCAGTGCTCACATTTTTTCTTTTTGCTTCTGGTTTTGGCCATGTTTGTTAAAGATGGCACCATTCCTGCATCTGGTGTCCTGGGCCTGATCTGTGGCCGCAGTCTGAAAGAGAATGTGAATTGCAGACTACCTCCGATTGAGGACTGGGGCCATGGTTTAGGGAGCACAGGTTTGCCTCCTGGGCTGAGGGCCTTGCCAGGCAGGAATGGGGAGGATGAGGCCGTGTTTTGCGTAGCTCGGCCTCATCTAATGCTGATTTTGGAGCCGAGCGTCCTTTTAACAACCTAGCCACAGCTGCTTGAGCTGGCGAGGCCATCTTTTGGGTTTCTGCAATTGCTGTTGGTCTCTTCAGCCTCCCAGTTCCAGCCATCCTGACCTTGTGGGATGTGAAAACCCTGTCCTTCCTAAGGGCTCTCGGAGAGAGAAGTGCAAGTAGCCCTGGGCAGCTCCCTCTCCTTTCACTTTTGAATGATCTGGGTCCAGAATAGGCTGAGAGGTTCCCTATTTTAGACACTCTAGAGTGCAGAGTGGAGTTTGAGATCTTGCTGGGTGAGGGGGAAACTCTCTTACATTTGTTAGGAGAGAGGGGGTCTTGTGGCCCCTAAAACTACCCACTATCTCTTTATTTTCCCAGATGGAACATTTCTCTTTCCAGGGCTCAAGCTCTGGGAGGGAAAAACAGGAGCTGGTTACTCCTGCAACCCAACGACAGCCACCCAGGCCGGAGGATATGGGCTCAGAGGCACCGAGTGGCTCTCAAGGAAATGGCTTCTCGTTTCAGGTTCAACACCTCACCTGCATTTTCCTTTCCTAGCCATCTTGGTGGTGCCACAGTGGTTCTCCCTGCCTTTATGGCCTATGACACAAGAAGCCAGTCCCCGTCTGTTGCTCTGAAATTGACCCTGACTGCCCCAGAATGAAGCAGATTCCCAGACAAGTAAAACCTTGACCTTCCCAGGGCTGATTAGGGAGTTTGCTGGTGCAGGGCTAGCTTCAAAAGCCCAAAGTTCTCTTAAAAGGCACTAGTGGCCTTTCAGAAGTGTTTTGCATCTTTCCTTGGCTCCCCTGTGGTACAGCCATTGGCACCCAGGCAGCCTGCCTGCCCAGCCTGCTGGAGCCCATTTCAACACCAAGTACAGTTAAGGATTCTCCCGAGGAATGAACCCTGGAATCTGGGTTGTAAACAAGAGGTGGGGGGGTGGGGTGGGTGGCAGCCCCGTTATCAACCTACACTCCCCAGTGTCTCACCATCAGCACGTCTGCTGATGCTCTCAACCTCTGCTTTCAGGAGCTCCTCATGGTCCTGGCTGCATTCTGTTTGTCCCTATGCTAAGAATCTTAAATTTGTATAATGTTTTAATCGTTTTAAATCACTTTCATTTTATCTTTCAACAACTCCATGAAGCAGTGAGTGTGAGAGGTTACAGAACTTTCCCGAAGTCATGTGGTTGGTTGGTTAATGGCAAAGACAAGGACAGAATCCAAGCATCTTTCTATTTCATGGTGCTAATTAATGATCACGTGGTTGGAATTTCTGGGGAGGGGGACAGTGGGCCAGGATGAATTAAGTCAACAGCGTGCACCTTTCTTAGATTGAGGTACTAATTGCTCAAGAAACTCTTGTGCAATAATGTGACATTAAGAGCCTGTTTCCTGTGGCAAAACTTTTGCTGCTCCTTTGACCCGTTTCCCCCAGTGTCCCTGCTCTTGCTCCCCCGTGTGCATGTGAGCATGAAGAACACGTGCCCGGGGGTGTATGATGGGGTCTCTGATAAAACTGAAACCTTCAGGCCCTGACCACACATGGTGTTGGTGCAGCTCCTTTCCCAACCACTCCTCTGGCCCCCTTTCCTCTGGAACCTCAGCGCCCCCTTGCACAGGGCATCTCACACCCTATCGAGGGGCTGTCCCCTCACAGGGACAGCTCTGACTGCCAGATCTTTCAAAGTATGAGCAGCTTACCGCCAGAAGCCACTTCCACGCAAGCTTAGCTTGGCCTGCAGTTTAGCCCTAAGCTGGGGAAGGAGAGAGGCAAAGGCTGTGATATCAGAGAAAATCGGGGGGACACCAGAAGCCACATTAGACTGAATTGCTGGTGTTCTCAGTAAACAAATAGTGGGTATGTATGCATTTTTAGTAGTTGCTGAGAAACACAATTACTCTGTAAATGTTAGTCTTCTGTTCCCTCAGCAGTTAGTCCCATACAGAACTTCAGGTTTCACTGTGAACCACCACCTGCCTCACCCCTTATCAAACCTGTCATTCTGAGGGGATGGGATGGGTGCCGTGCGTGGGACCTGGGCGAGTGGCACAGCAAAACAGAGTGTCATTTTTACCTGGGAGGTGCTCCAGCTGATTGCGTTGCCCAGAGGTGGCTCCCAGGGGGCTGGGGGGCACAGTGGTCAGGAGCCTACCCTGGAGCCGGGGCCCCATCCTCAGGATGCGCACACTCAGGGGTCGAAGGCAGTGATTAGTCAAACGGAGCTGAACTCGGACTCTGGTGTGAATCTTAATCAGACTCTTCCCCATGGTAGCCCAGGAAAGCAGATACTTCTTCAGTGGAAATCAGCTGATCTCTTCATGGAAATCAGCCAGGCAGGGAGACTCAGGGAAAGGACGGAAAACCAGCTAGGGACAGAGGATTGCTGCTGCTCCCATGCTATGGCAGCGCCTTCACGGTGTCTCCCGTGCTGGAGCGAGCCTGGGCTCCATGAGCCTCAGGGCGGGCTGAGCTGCAGGGAAGGAGCAGCTCTGAGAGGACCATGTTATCAGGGGCCTGGATTCAGTCAGAGGCACTTAGAGCCATAAAAAGTAATGCTTACCCAGCCTGTAGCTGTTTCCCTGAGGCCCTTCCGTATAAGGCCCTAGACCTCTGGGAGAGAAGGGAAGGGGACAATCCCCGGGGGTAGGGGGAATGAAGGTTGTCTCAGGAAATCCAGGGTGTGAAGCTATGAAGACTTTAGGCTTTGGACTGAGTGGCTTTGAAGTGTGAGGAACTGGCACTGGGGCTGGAAATGGACTGTGTCTCATCCTTTGCTGGGATGAACCTGGTGCCTTCAGCCTCAGGGTGGATGGGAAGAGGGACGCACAGTTATGTTTCCTCAGAAAAGAAGGAGAAAATCATTCCACTCTCCTGAGATGAACACCCCAAAAGAAGAGGGACAGGGAAAGCCGCACTCAGGTCTCCTGCTCAGTCTACGGGAGGGTGAGCCAGGATGCTGCCTGATGATGGTCAGGCCTCTGCAGTTCCATCCCTTGCGTGGTGATTATACTTGGTAGTTTACACGGTGCCCTTCCAAATTCACACCCCCTCTACAGCGGGGGCAACAGGCTTAGAAAGGTTAAGCTACCTGCTCCAGCAAATACATGGCAGAGCTCTGATTTAAATCTCACCTCGGACTTCCTGACCAGGCCTGTCTGCGCTGTGCTTGCTGCCTGCCCAGTACGTGCTTTAATCTCTTTAAAGTATTGCGCACACCAGCTTCCCTGCCACCAATGTCAGGGAAGATGTCCCCTTTTTACAAGTGGAACAACAAAGACAGTAAGTGAGGCACTCGATGGTGGTTGCCCAGCGAGGGTTCTCAGCCCTAGAGAACCACACACAGGCGAGGCGCAGGTAGTGACACGTCATAAAACCCTAAACACAAACCGGAGATCCTCCCATGGAGCAGATCCTTCCTAACCGGAGTAGTTTTCCATTTTCATTAATAAGCGGCATTCACTCAGAAAGGACAAAGGGCCTTTCCTCCCCAGCCTCCAAGACAGATACGGGTTTGAAATAATCCTGCTGCTTAAGATATTCTGAGGTCCTACAGACCATCATCATCATCGGGAATGAAAATAATTTTGCACCTGTATCCAGGCTTCAGGGCAAACCGGGTCAGTGGCAATGGCAGGAGGACACCATTCCCAGTCTCCTGACAGTGTTAAGTACCTGAGACTGGAGAGGTGTTAACCTCAGGCTGCTGGGACATCTAGTTCCCACTATACACAGACTTTGCCTCTCTTCCCACCTCCATGTACTCCGAAGGGAGGGCAGGGTTGGGAGAGATGGACAGACTGGGTTTCCTAAGACAACATTAAAGAGTTCGATAGCAAGAGGGCAGATTTCTACAACTGAAGTAAAGGTGGTAGCAGTTATTGGAATGCTTCAGAACCGAGAGTTTATATTTTGGTTAACTGCCTCAGCTACCCTGATAATTTAAGCTGTGGAGGTTGGTCAGATCTGGAAAACAAATGAAAAGCCTCTCGATGGGAAGCCGTTTCGGAACTACATGGAACCTGGGAGATCCCACATACACTTTCCCCAAGCACTTTCAGATCCACCACCCGCTCTTGGACTGCAGCTCAGCAGGGCTGGAGGGGGTCCCCCATCGCCTGACACCCAGCTTCATTCCCATCCACTGGAGCAACTTGCTGCTGTCTCTAATGCAAATGCACCACTTCTCAAGGTCCCTGAATGGAACTGGTCTAGGTCACGACTCAGAGAAACCTGTGGTCATCTCCAGAGCTCATGCTTACCTTCCATGATGGAGATGTGAACAGCTCTTCTGCGGGTCCTGGGGACGCTGCTCAGCCTTGGCCCATGGGTTATGGAGGGACAGCTGCGGCTGGGAACCATCCCAGCCCTGAGGTTAAAGAACACTGTTAGCTCAGTGTGCAGAGAGCTGTGGTCAGGATTCAGAGTTGACGAGTAGCTACTAGAACTGCCTGGCTGTATTAAGTCTTTTGTGTTCTAAAAGATCTTTAATACCTGCTTTTTGTCTTTAGTCCCTGGATCCTGCTCAGAGACCCTGCTGTAAACTTGTCCACTTCTCTCACCCCTGACCCACCCAAACCTTCCTGGAGTGTGGCCACAGTGCCACTGGTCTCTGGAGGAGGGTCAGGGAGTAGTGTCCCAGGATAATCCGTGCTCCCAAAAATGTGCCTGAAGATGGATATGGCAGCCTCCCCTGACCTCCAGCAGAGGTGGCTGGTGGTGATGCTCCCGTTCCCAGAGGTCAGGCTGGCGGGCAAACCCTAACTCTCTTGGCCAATCACATTCTTTCTGGGTCTCTTCGGGGTCTAGGAGATGGACTTCTAGGAATACATGATTTATAATTATGCATGAAGCATGGATCTCAAAACTAGTTTACACGTAGTGTGAGAGGGCTATGGGGCTGTCCCTGGCTTTCTGTAATGAACTGATTGCACAGCCAAAGAAATCCTGCTGCCTGGAATGTCCTCCACGGTGTATAAGCAATCTCAGGACTTGGGAGGACAGGCGAGAATCACCCGGGAAGGTGGCTCCTGGGTCTGATGCATTGTCTGTGCTGCCTGTATCGGCCGGCCTTCCCTCCCTCTCCTCCCAGGCTCAGGGATTCCAGGGTCAGACGGCTTCCCACCCCTTTAGCTGAGATGAGATTCTTCACCTCTCCTGCCCTGTTCTCCTTCCGCCTTTTGGGAGCCATTGTGGCCAGAATCTTCACATCACTCAAACTGCTGGCTCTTTTGAGGTTCCGGAACCTATGCTCGAACTGCTTTTGGGGGAAGCCCCTGGCAGCCTACCTGTGGATTTCCGGTGGCTCCCGTTTGATCTTGGCACTTGACTCCATCACTTCCTTTGCAACTCGGCCACTGTAAGTAGTGTAATAAAACAAGGAGGAAATGAGACAGGGTTCCAGAACGGGCTCCTCTCTAAGATCTTAGATTGCTCTGGCTGAACTGCGAAGTGGCCTCTCTGGCCTGCCCGTTCCCACGGTTTAGGCCACCGTGAAAGGCTTGCTTGCTGGGGTAAAGAGTTTTAACATGCCCTGACAGCTGATCTTAGAGAGCTCTTTATCTCTGGAGTCTTTGGGATCTTCCATTCTCATTTATGAATGGTTTCTCATTGTCCAGCATGTTCCAAAATATCACAAAAAAAATCTTTACACAGACATGAAAATAACTACTGTCACAGTCCTATTGTGTGGCTGTTGTAAGGGCAGGAGGAGAAGGCACTCACTGAAAACCCTATAGACCCAGCCACAGGGAAGGAGAGAAATGGTCAGAGGGTTAGGAGACAGAATTTGGTGGAAACCTCAGGTTTTTCTGGAGGTTCCCAGTTTCTTTGTTTTCCAGGGTAAGGACCGCTGAGCCACTGTCCTGGAGAGAAGGGTCTGAGAATAGGTCCACAATGGTTACTTACTGTCACTATTTACCTGTATCGGAACCGGCTCCCTTTAAAAAATAAATTGCTGCTGGACACTGTGCGGACTTGGCTTGACTTCTCCAGCCTGCAGCAAGACAAAGTCCAGTGTGAGAGATGGCCCGCAGCAGTCTCTCAGGCTGCCGCAGCGCCTGCCCAGCTCTTTCCAAAGAAAGCCCTCAGGAAAAGGCCCTTCACAGCTGGGCTGGTCTCTGACTCTCCTGCAGGATCTGAGGGCTGTGCTCACGGCCTCAGTGTCAGGGACAGGCATGCTGAGGCCCACTCTCCTGTCAGGGGAGTGAGGGCTTCCCCAGGGTGCTTCATGGGGTTGACCAAGGAGACTGAGAGGAAAAAGTTAGGGGTGATGGTCTGGGGGAGTAACAAATGCCTCCCACTGAATTGCAGCGGTGTGACCTTGGGCTTCTCTCTCTCTCTCAGCCTTAGTCTTCTTATCTATAGAATAACAGGCTGGGACTATTCGACCTCAGGAGTCCTTTCCAGTCCTAGCATCTAATGCTTTGTGTCCATGTCTCGGTGATGAGGATGGAGAAGAGAGTGGGGCTGCTTTCCTATGCCATCTCCTGGGAGGGTCCTCGAGTGCATTACCATGTTACAGGCCCTGAGAAGTCCTGACATGAAGAAGCTAGCTTAACTTTAATGAAAGTTTCATCACTTATTTGAACTTGGAACCATGCTGCCATCCCCAGAATGCCTTTAACATCACTCTCAAGGCTGTAGAGACAGCTGATGTGGAGACGATGGAAGGTCAGGGACACTGGAATAAAATACCCTTTCGGGTGACTTCTCTGATCCCACTTTGAAAAGCAAGTTTGGGCAGAGCTGCCCAGAGTGAAGTATCCCAAGAGCCAACTTGGCCCACAGCATGCCCTGGATGCCCTGCTTCTACTGCAGCCTGGAACCCATCTAGGTCTGAAGCCTTTGCTAGGAGTGGGCAGTAAATATTGAGGGAACTGTCCTCACAATCCATGAACAGCAGTTCCTGAGAGTCACCACCCTCACCTATCTCAGGGCTCTGTGAGGCTCAGCCTGCTTGCCTTCCTGCCCAAGCACATTCGTGGGTCTGACCTGGCTCCCCTCAGAGCACTGGGCCAGAGTCAGGAATCTGCGAATGAGAGAGGCTCAGCTGCTGCTGCTAGAGACTTGGCACAACTGGGGATCTGACCCAGGCTAGAGACTTTGAGCACTTAACTAGAACATTAAATGGTTAATGGGAAGCTGCAAAGGGACCTTGGTTTCCACCGTGGGTGTTGGCAGGGCTGGGTGGGTGTGAAGGTCTATTAATGATTGGAAAGACTCAGAAACTGAGCTCGGTCACAGGTGCAGAAGCACAGTTCTGGTCCCGTGACAGAGAAATGAAGGCCTCCAGAAATGGTGCTGAAATGCTTTCCTGGCTTTCCTGGGACAGCCAGGGACTGAACGGGAGGGGAATCTGACCACGCAAAAGGAGAAGTCTTTTCCAAGTGTCTTCTCTTTCATGAGAGGAATGAAGGTCACTCAAGTTAGCATTCAGGCCACCCGCTCAGTTCATCCTGATTCCATATCAAATGCATAGAAAGTTGGAAGCAGTTCAGAAAGCCTGACCCAGAAACAACTTCCGGGGCAGTGTCCCCAGTAAGAGGGAGGAGTCCAGTTCTGCTGGTCAGCATCCCAGAGCAGGCCGCGTGGGTAGCAAACAAGTCTGCTCTCTCCAGGATCCTTCAGGTTACTGGAGGGAGAACTATGGCCTATTGGGCGGAACACACCACACACTTTTGTCTTATGTTGTCCTCATTAAGGTACAGCTTGTTAAATCATAAATCATTGCATTCTAAAAACAAGACCAAGGGTTTTAGCCAAATGCACTTTATCTGGCATCTCTCCAGTTTCTCAATGGGCTCCTTCTTTGCTCCCTAATGCTCTTATGACCACTTTCTTAAGCAAAGAAAACTGAGCACAAAATTCTCAAACACTTTACAAAATTCTATGGTAAATAAAGTTGTTTTTGGCTCGAAGTAGGCTTCTTAATACGAGACAAGTCCTTGCCCCCCTCCAGCCGCCCCATCCCAGGCTCCTGGGCACTTGGCCTGTCATTTGGCAACACCTCTGGCTGCGAGGTTCCCGGAGGGGCTGGACCAATGCCAGCCTAGCACCGGCTCACCCACTGGGGAGTGGGCCCCGGGGTCTTTCTAAGGCTTAGGGAACTGTTCTGGGCTGCGCCTGCTCTTTCATGGACCTGTCGTGTTCCGAGCTGTCCTAGGGCTCGGACTGGCTCCGCGGGGCCAGTTTGGTTTGAGTCAGGCACCCACGGGCTTCTTCTGGCCCAAGACTTGCTCTGGGAACCCGGGACTGGTTTGCCACTGAGGGCGGTCCCAGGACGTCACAAGGCAGTCCCCTTGAGCAGCTCTATAGAGACATGTTTCCAGACCCAGTCAGTTCTGTCCCTCCACGGGGTGCACACAGACACCCACCCAAAACGGGGTCTGAGTTTTACAAGGAAGCCCAGCCCTGTCACCTCATATCTCATTTCTCCAAGTTTCCTACCCGTCACTGCTCTAAAAGTAGCTTTTATGACTTTGGCTCTGCGAGTGACAGTCCCCATGCCAAATGTCCACTCACTTGTAGAAGGCTTGGTTCTCAATTCCACATTTCCAGAGGTGCTTGCAGGCTTCTGGAGTTGGAGCAAAATATGTGAGAATAATTTTCTTTTCCTACAAAAAATCCCACATAGAAACAGCTGAGTGTGGACGCAGAAGTGGAGGGTGAAGTAGGCCAGGACCCTGAGCCCTGAGCTGTCTGAGGGCTCCCACGACACGCACAGGCTGCGGACGGGGAAGGGGAGGGGCTGCCTGGCCGCCGGCTAGTCGGAAGAGAAGGCCCGCAGGACCCGCTGGTACGGGGCTCAGTTGTGCGCATGAGTTCACACCTGGCAGGGCCAATCAGAGTCAGTCTCAGCTGGCACAAATTGAACCAAGAGTCCTCACCAGAGAAAGTGGTTCTCATATCTAAAATGTTTTTTTTTTCTATTTATTATCTTGGAATTTCCATATGGAAGCAAAATAATCTTACTTTGATTGCATTTCCTGGAGGCATGGAACCTCTGGGTGTCATTGGCATCCCTAAGGAAGCCCTATGTTCCAGCTCCTAGCCACCTCTCCCGCACCTCCGGATCTTGACCTTGGTCTTTGCTTAGCATGCAGATGGCTCAGCTCTACCTGGATGGAGCATGTTGGTTCAGCCCTGGCCTCGGGAACCATCCCAGTACCCCAGCCCTCCTGAAAAGAAGGAAGCCAGCACTCACCTCTTTTTGACTTACGTATAAATAGAAAGTCTTCCCTTCAAATTTCAGCTTGGTCACTTCATTCCTAGAAGCACAAAGAGAGTGCCAGTCACTTTGCTGTGGGCTGCTTGTTCACCGCCAAGTCTTGTAGATGCACAGCCCACCCCGACTGGCAGGGGCTCCAGGCACAGACACAGTTTTAGCCAAAATCAGAACTAAAACAAGACAGCAGCGCAGTGTTGGAACAGTTCAATCCACAGTTTTCTGCTCAATCAAACTCTAATAATTGGGTGAGAGGAGGAGTTCAGGCTCACTCATAGTGGCTGTCAAGGGAAGCATTGGCATGGGAAGTGAGTCTAGGTAGAGCGGTCCCGGGCCATTTCAGGACTTGGTTCATAACACAGGTGCATTATCCGGATGGGACTATCAAACATAAGATGCCACAGTAGCTGATGAGGCCAAAGTTCAAGATACAGCAAATAATGAAAAACAATGCAACCAGGTTCTGAGGGAGTTGAGTCTTTCAGGTGACTGTGCCACTGGATGGAAAATGCGGTTTAATGCAGACACATGTCAAACGATCTCAGGGAGGGGGCGGAACAACATACCAAAGAGAGAGAACAGATTACATGGAACAGTCATGCAGCGTACTGACCAGGAAAGGGGCTTAGGGGTTTTTGTAGAAAAATCCTTGAAGCCACCAGCCCAGTGAATGGCTGCAGTAAAAGAGGCAAACAGGATACTGGGGTATATCACCCGTGGGACAGACACAAATCAGAAGAAGTGACATGGTTACTGTACATGGCGCGGCTTAGACCTCACCTCCACATACTGCTTGCAGCCTTGGTTACATTTACAAAGTGGAAAAATGACCAGGGTCATGGGTGGATGTCCCTGAGAGCCAGAGAACTAGGCCTCAGCACTGGTCACTCTTCCCTCCATTTGCCTGACACGGCTGCCCTTTGGAGCCGACAGCCCTCCAGCCTCTCAGGGGGCGAGGTCCTCATCATTCTGCCCGCTGGCACCATGGAGTCTGACCGCGCACATCTGCCTCTACTTGGCTTCTTCCTCTTTGCAATTTTTAGGGAGATTTCCTCAATATCCTAGGAAGTAGCTGAAAGGTAGTGAGAACCATGCGTATCCGGTTTACTACTGGACTGAACTGAGGGGACAGAGGAGGGTCACATTCCCTGGAAATCACGGTTGTGTCAGAATGAGAGTTCACAGCTCTGACCACCATTTCTGAGCTAATACAAGACACAGTGCAGTCCCTCCCTGTTTGGCTCCCGGCTAATCAGTCACTCGATCTCTCTCGCACACAAAATACGTATCAATCAGTTAATATATAAATGAGCACACAGATCGTCTAGGCTTCAGCAAGAAAGACAGGGAAGTAAGAGTTTTCTATTGGAAGTGAGATTGGGCTGACACCTATGAAGGCGGAGACATTGTGAAGAGGAGACTTCCTGCAGACAGGAGAGGATGGGGGTCCGGGGGAGCCAGGCGAACATCCTGACTTCTGGGAGGGGCGTAGGGACACTTTGGGAACTGCAGGTCCCTGTAACAGGTGTGTCCTACCTCAGGAAGCAGCTACTCTGTTCAAGTGTGGCCCAGGTCAGAGTGTGGCCCAGGTGCTGGGCTAAGGGACACCAGACAACCCAAATGAATCTAGGCAGCAAGCGCTCCTCACTGGGAGAGTGGTGGCCTGATGTTGCTCATTGTCTTTTTTTTTTTTTAATTTTAGAGAAATGGGGAAGGGAGGGAGAAAGGAAGTGAAACATCAATGTGTGGTTGCCTCTAGCACACCCCATACTGGGGATATGGCCCGCAACCCAGGCATGTGCCCTGACTGGGAATCAAATGGGCGATACTTTGGTTCGCAGGCCTGCGCTCAATCCACTGAGCTACACCAGCCAGGTCCTCATTGTCTTTTCTTGAAAAGTATTTTGTTGGACAGAAGACCCCGAATCTTCACCATCTTTACCCAGAGAGCACAGTGAGTCGGCCGACTTGTGCTGGGTTGTGTCTGAGATCAATGTCACTAGCACTTGGTTATCATCGTGTTGCCCGTCTTCACAGGAGCAGTGAGGGTGGAAAGGTGGGGTCTGTCTCTAAGGTCAGTATGGGAGCCAAAGAGGATGTGGGAGCACTGATGCCCTGCAGTACCCTCAGCAGAAAGCTCACCAGGAAGCAGCTCCATCTCCAGATTCCCATTGGCTCTTCTGGACCAAGGAAAGCCACTTGTCCAAGCCCATTGGAGGAGTTGGCCGGCTTAGACTTGGCAGTCTAAGGCCCAAAAAGGAACAGAAATCACAGGGGCTTGGTAGAATATGCAACATGTTTTGATGAGGCTCACAGATGTTTGCACAGGCCAGAAAAAGGGTTTCCAGGGCAATCAAATGTCCATCAACAAGCCAGAGTCTGCACTGCATCGGCTCCCAGAGGCATGCAGCAGGACAGACCCCAAACGGACAGTTCAGAGTGGCTTCAGCTGAGGCAGTGTCTCCTGCCTGCTAGCAACGGGAGTGGGAGAGGGAGGAAAAAGTGGGGATGGGAGACAGAGCAGCACCTGTGCTCTTGCAGGCAGTGCCCACGGTGTGGGTTGGCCTGAGGAGGGTGTTTGCCAGGGCAGCAGGGTAACGTCTGTCTCCCCAGGGGACCCTGTGAGTCCCTCCTGTGTTAGGACAGTGGGTGAGGGAGTAAGTCCCCTGCAGGTGCTATGGCTCTCAGCAGGGAACCGTCCCAAAGTCTCAGTCCTTGTGGGAACTTGGCGTCTCTAACATTGGCTCTAGCCCTAAGCCTCTCATCATACCTGGAAATCCACCCTCCACACCCTTTCTTCCTCTGGAGAGGCTGTTGGCTCTCAGGAACACCCCTGTGGAAGAATAGGATCCCCAGAAGAGACCACTACCTTCATCAGTTAGCACTGCGGATGCAAGGCTTGGGAGAGGGCTCAGAACCGGAACTGCCCAATCACAGACAAAGGACATGGGAACCACAGCCCTCCCCAGTTAGTGAGGTATGAAAAGCCTGCCTTGGAAATGAAGATATTCACCATTTAATGAAGTGGACCCTCTTGTTTCCTTGAAGAACAACAAACCCAAAAGGTGTGAAGGCGAGAAATGCAGCATTTCCTGACACATCCTGCAACACAGAAAGACTTCTCATCAGGGGGGTCCAGGGACGGAGGAGACAGGGTGAGAAACAGTTGCTCATCGGTTAATACCTGGTCCTGGCAGGAGGTCACGGAGGAAGAGCACGGCCTTTGGAAGTAAAAGGCAAGTTACTTACCTTCCCTGAGCCTCGGTGCCCATAACTGTAAGCTGTCGATTAGAATTACCAACCTTGGAAGGCTGTGTGGACCTCCGAAGAGAAGGGCAAACCCTCACACATCGCTGGTGGGGCTGGAAAGAGGCGCAGTCACGTTGGAAAGCAGTTTGGAAATCCTTCAAATTGTTAAGCATAAAGTTTACCTTATGACCCAGCAATTCCACTCCTGGGCTATACCCAAGAGAACTGAAAACGTATGTTCACAAGGAAACTTGTACATGAATGTTTAGAGTAGGATTAATTATTCATAACAGCCAAAAAGTGGAAATAATCCCAGTGTCCATCAACTGATAAATGAAAGCGCAACGGAATAACGTTCAGCAGTAAAAAGGGGTGAAGTGCTGACACGCGCTACCACCTTTGCAAACACGGTGATGGAAGAAGCCAGTTCCCAAAAAGATCACAAGTCGTATGATTCCATTTGAATGAAATGTCCAGAATAAGCAAATCCACTGAGACAAAAAGCTCCTGGTTGCCAGGAGCTGTGGGGAAGGGGAGGTGGGGAGTGGCAGCTAGGGGGTGTAGGGTTTCTTTTTTGGGGGTGATAAAATGTCCTAAAATTAGATGGTGGTGATGTTTGCATAACTCTGTGAATATACTAAAAACCACTGGACTGCATAGTTGTAAAAAGGGTGGATTTTATGATATGTGAATTACATCCCCAAAAAACTGCTATGAGGAGGAGAGAGAGGGAGTGGGAATATGGCGGCTCCCTCTGGGAAGCTCAGCTGAAGGAAAGCAGCAGCTGGCACGTGAAGCGGCCGTCACCAGCCCTGCCGGTGCCTTAACCGACAAAGAGGCCCCCTGGTCACTTGCCACCATCCGTCTGTAAACACCAGGCTTGAGGCTCTGCTGAGCAAACAGGTGCAGGGGAAGGTGTAGGTCACGGTCCCCTCGCCTGGGAACAGGAGCTCCGGGAGGACCAGGTCTTTTCCAGTTTGGGGTGGGGCACAGAAACCTGGCCCCCGGGCTGTGCTCTCTCGGGCCCCTAGTAGGGGCCTCGGGTGAGCATCTGCTCTGTCAGGGTGTGTGTTCGGGCCAGAAAGTCATGGCAGGACTCCGGTCAAATGCGTGCGCAGGACAGTAGTCGGCCATCACTTCGACGGTGCCACGGAGCCCGGGTCAGGCAGCTGGCGCGAGGTGGACAAGCGGGGGCCCTGGCTGCCGGGCTCTCCAGTCTCTCCTGCCTTCAGGACTTACTGCCTGGAACAGATCTTCAGCCCCTTTCGTCCTGAGAACAGTGGGGCCTCTGCAAGGGCTTCATGAGCCTTGCCTCAAGAAAAAAAAATGCAGCTTTGCCCTAAAACTGTCTCATAGAGTCAGGGTTACAGGTGTGAGCTTCTGGGCCCAGGGAATAAATCATGTTTTGTAAACATTTCCAATTAATGTATTTTTATTATTGTCCCCAGGGTCTGTAGTGACCCTGACACTTGGCTGCAAATACAATGTCATCCAACCCACGGGCACAGCAAAAAGCTGTTTAAAAATAACCTGAATGGAGATACGGTGAAACCACGGGGCTGGATCCCCTCCTGCCTGTCATTGGTGCTTGGTGGTGGTGAACACCTGAGCGCCAGCACTGCGCAGGGCACGGTCCCTGCCGGGGGGCACCAGCACTAACCTGGCAGAGATACAAGCTGAGATACGAGCTGGACCTTAGGGTGGAGGACGTCTGGGAGGGGTGGGCAGGGAGGCAGCCTGCCTCAGACGGAGGGTGGGCGCCAGGGAGCTTTCCACACACTGTGCAGGCAGGAGCCACGGGACTCCTAAAACTGCAGGTTTCCAAAGACCGAGACTTGACCTTATTTGTACTCTCGGAACAGGCCTGCAGTGGGGTGCGCCAGAGGGGCCAGAGTGGCTGCAGTGGGGGAAGAACATATGGGAGCAGAAATGAGATGGAAGGCACAGTGGGGCGCGTCGGGGAAGGGGTTTTCCAGGGTTCCCTGACACAACAGAGACCTCAAAGGAAGAATGGATGGAAGGAAGGGAACCAAGGGTCAGGCCTACAGCGGACTGAGGATGGCCTGAGGTAACCGGGAAAGAGCAGACAGGGCAGCAGCAGGGTGGGCAGAGAAGGGCCTTTCTGTCTCTTGCGCCGCTGAGCCTGGTGGCCAAAGGGAGGGCTGAAGAGCACCTGCGCCACACCCACGGCGCCTCGGGCTCTCGGGCTCAGGCTCGGGGACAGACCGCTGGGGCCCAGGCCCTGGCTCCGCCACTCCCTGCCTGTGTGACCTCGGCCAGGTCCCTTTCTGTTTCACACTCCCCACTGTAAAATGAGGGTGGATACAGCTATCTGCCTCTTAGGGTGTGCTTAGTGGTTGTGTTGTTGATACTAGAGCTGCTACTGATTAGCTTAGTTTGTTGAACTTAATTCAAAATCTTATTTTGATAAAACCTAACATGTTACTATTTTTCCCGAAGTTGATGGATTTAAATGTTGTTAGTTGGGAAATGAGGGTGTGGGAAGTTGGGGTAGAAAGGGAGAAGTCACTCTTGTTAGGGGACCATGGAAGAAGGGGATTTGGGGGCTACACGTGGGGATTGAAATGAAAGTAAAGTGGGCAGAAGGGGAAGGAGGCAGAGGCTGTCACACAGATCTGTGGGAGCCACCCCGGGGACTCTGGCCACGGCAAAGGGAAGAGAAGGTCCCCCCATGAGCTGGGTGCTGCCGGCCGGGCTGCTGGGCTGGCCTCCCAGTGAAGGCAGCCACTGGAGTTAGCGGGGAGCAGCCTCTCCTGACCACACTGGCTGACTCAGAACAGGGAACAGCTGGGAACAGACCCTGATGGATGCCACGTCACTCCAGTGAGAAACAATAGCACGGTGACCAATCCCAATCCAGTGTCTCACGGAGCAATTCTCCAGGCTGCTCCCAATGCCACCGTTGTTCCAGGTGAAGGCCCCGGCAAGGCCCTGGTGCCTGGGTGTCCACGGGGGCAGGGCAGCCAGAACGTCTGCTAGTGTCCGGCACTCGAGGCGTAGGACTTGGAATTCCAGGGGGAAAGCTGTTATCTGCACCAGCACGAAAACACCAGCGGGCAGCCGCGCCGACACCTTCTCTGGAACCTTCCCAGGTTCTTCTATCTAACATGCCATTCTCACTGTGAGCCTGCCTGTGGGGTTTGTGTGCGCAAGGACAAGTTATGTGACGAGAAGAGGGAAATGAGGGCGAGAAGTGACACAGACAACAGTGGCCTGTCCCTTTCCCATCCTGATGAGATCAGTACCCACAGGACTGAGCTATTAATGGACCCAGGAGGCAGAATAAAAACTCGGGGCTTGCAGCCACGGCGGCTAGCTCCGTCTCCACTCAACATCCGCCAACAGTCAGAAGGATTCAGTTCACTTTTACAGTTGAATGTAGAAGTTAATTTTCAATTTTTCATCTTTGTGGAAAGTGTTTTCTTTTGGTTTAGGACCCCAGTTCTGTCCCCCCGCCCATTCCTCACCCGAGGATATGCTTATTGATTTTTAGAGGGACAGGAGGGGTGAGGAGAGAGGCAGATGTGAGAGAGAAACATCGGTCCACCGCCCCTGTGCGCGCCCCGAGTGGGCTGCAGCCGGGAGCCGTTCGGTGTGTGGGACGGTGCTCCAGCCAGCAGAGGCCCCAGGCCAGGGCCCAGCTCTGTTTTTCATTTCCTCTGTGACTTACTTATCTTCTCTGAACTTTAGTGTCCTCATTTGTCAAATAAGGACAGTAAATAGTACTTCAAAATACTACCTCTGTCTGATGGCCTAAATGACTAATGGTCAGGACATGGCCAGAGGTGTTTCCACGGAAGGAGCGTGGGCCTGCACTGGGTCACTCGCACGTTCCGTTGGAACCCACCATCAGACTTGACCTGCACCATCGACGGTCCACCCTGAGGTGATCACGCTGCCCAGAAAAGGACTTTGGGAAATCACAGCACTGACAGGTTCTTGGAACCAGCCTGGTCCCCACAGCCTGGACCTCCAGATACAGTGAAGTGGGCTTCCGTCTGCTGCCTCCCCAGAGGGCGTCCTGGGTGTGACGGAGTAGGGACCCAGCATCCTTGCTTGTTACGCCTCTCTGGGTCATCCTTAAGCTAACACAGTCCAGGTGCACGAAGCCTCTACTATTCTTTAAAAACCTTAGTGAAGAGGGGTCCACACGCCCTTCTGGACACTCATGCCCATTCCTGAAAGAGCTCGTAGCTGGGAGCCTGTAAGTCAATCACGAAAATTGCCGAGTTTCAATATACTCACACCCGGCCCCTAGAAGCTAGGGTGGAGATCAGGAGGAGGAGGTGCCCTGGAAGAGGCCTGGCATCACCCACGGCAGCTCAGAAAGTCACGTTTTCATTTCAGCAGTGAGCCTAACGAAGTAGCCGACAGGGGCCCTCCTGAGGGCGAGGGCGAGTCACCACTGACCCTTCCTGTTCTGTTTCTCTGAGGTCGGGGCAACTCGTCCAGCCGGGGAGGAGGGTTTATTCAGAGAGAAGTCCAGGTGGCTGCATTATGAAAGTGATGATCCTATTTGAAGAGCAAAGTAACGCCACTGTAATTTTATTTGTGTGGTTGCTCCAAACTAGATCCTGCTGAAATCAGTTTTCTCCTGGTCTTTTCAGAACTTTACATCGTTCAAGTTTTGTATGGTTTCAGTAGTTTCGTAGGTCTTTGCCTTCTCTCTGTCACAATTGGCAGTGGGTCCCATTTTGCTCCTAAATAAATGCCATCTCTCCAGAGGGAAGACAGTGAAAGATAACTGAAGGAGCACAGCAGTGAGACAGACAATTCTGGGTTCAAGTCCCAGAACTGTCTGCTCTGTACCAGGAACTATGGATGTGTCTGTCAGTCCCAGAGGCTCAGTGTTCTTATCTTAAAAGGACAAAAATGTCTTGACAGTGTTATTGAAAAGACTAAATGAGACAGTGCACATAAGTGCTTGGTACCTCCGTTCAATAAATGGCATCTTCATGACTCATGATCAGGGTGGGCACAGGCTGGGTACCTGTGACGGCCTGCTCACTGCAGCCCAGGGCAGCCACGAGTCCCAGGGCCCCCTGGAAGGAACAGGATGGTGGGTTCTCGGGTTGGAGAGGAGTTGGGGCCGGGGAATGGGTTGCAATGCTGGGCTGCCAGCGGTTTGCTCCGCTCTCCTCGCCCAGCAGCTGTAGGCTCGGTCTGCTGGAGCTCCTGCCAGGAGTTGGGGGCTGGGGGAGATGCAGAAAGCTCGTGACAGCCTGTGGGAGTTGAGTTTGGGCATCATAGTAAGCCAGCCAGATATCGGAGCCCCCCCGCCCCCCGTCTGTTCCCACCCAGAGTTGGTGGGATCTCCTCTTCCTGGTGCCAGAGCCAGAGACAAGGAAACTGTGGGTGGAAAGAAACCATCGGCATGGTCGGAAAGAACAGCAGCTTCTTAATTGGTCCAGGAGAACAGAGCCCAGCCAAAGTGTTGTTCTGCTCTCATTTAATTATCAAAACGATTCCTCCTCTTCTGTCCTCCCTAGGGCTGCGTGCCCCAGATTCCCTGGGCCCAGTAATTGCCTCTCTGTTAATAGAAATCATCAGTATTTATTACACCGAGTGCTCCAGCTTATTCCAGCTCTCCTTGTAGCAACGTTAAGGCGAATGCTTGGTAGCACACCACCAAAGTGACTCTACTTAATGACAAGAGTAAATGCTCCCGAACTGTTCTTGCTGAAGAAGGCTGAGGAGATCCTGAGCCGGAACCCAGTGAGATGAGCTGAGGGGCCACGTGTGGGGTCTGCAGCAGGGCCCTGGTGTGGCCCTGGTGAGTGAGAAGGACAGGGCCCAGGAAGAAGGGACTGGAAGCCCAGTGCTCTGACTGCTCGCACCTTCTCCCTGAGGAAGTCTCCTGGGGGCTCCTGTTCCTTACAGAGACACAGTGGGAAGTGACTCGAGTTCGACTTCTTGCTCTACCACTCGGGGCCCTGTAAATTGTGGCTTCCTGGGACTTGTATCTTCTCATTGATAAACCAGGAAGAATGATACCCACCTCCCAGGGCTGGCGTGAAGATTAAATGAGAAGACAATGGGAAAGGGTCCCAGTGGGCCCGCCACGGGAGGCGCGCCACACGTGTCCCTTCCTCCTTCCTGCAGTCTCTTCGGCCCGTGCCCGAGCAGGACACGGCCATCGAGGTCGGGGCTGAGCCAGGAGCCCCACGGTCGCTCGGCTGTGCCCGGTTCACTGTCCACTGTAGGATGGCAGGTGGCAGCCCTGCTCGGGGACCCATCTGAAGAGGCGGGCACCCTGCGTGGCTTCACAGGGACAGGGCAGCTCTGGAGTCAAAATGAGAGGCACCGGCACTTTCTGGTGACCGTGTCTATTTTTAGGCAGCCATGTCCTCCAAGGTCATGCAGTGAGTCAACAGTTCAGGGCAGGGCACCGTTACTGAGTGCCCACTGTGTACAGATGAGGCAGGGAGGCCCAGGGGAGCCTTCCAAGGCCCCAGTGAGCAGGAGCCCCGGACTGGAGCCGAGGCCTCTGGCTGCAGGCTCTCTTCCGTCCTACAGGGCTCCCCAGCTGACAGTGTCGGGGCAGTTAACGCAGGCTGAACTACAGCTGTGATGCAGAGGGCACTATTTACGAAGCTTTGCTAATTCATTTTTAAATATCCATGTGTGAAACTTTTGGTGTAAATAGGCATCAGTGTGTTCTCTGACAGCACTGGCCCCCCGGAACACAGGGGTTATCTGGCAGGAGGCTGTGTTGGGGGTTTGGGAACTGAGGGGTGAGGAAGGTGCCCAGGGTTTCGGAGTGCCAGGATGCAGACTGTCGTCAGAGTGCATGTGTGACGTTCCGACACCAAATCCTGGGCAAGAGCACAGCACCATCGCCTCACCAAGAGGCCAAGGGAAACGCAGCTCTGCCCCCACATCGCTGGGCTCCTTGGTTTCTGTTCCTTTAATTTTGTTGGAAACTTATGATGTCCCCTCAGTGTTCTGTTCCCACTGGATACTGTCTCCCTCCGATCAGTGTGAGGAGCAGTTTTACAAGTGGTGCTGGGGTCCCTCCAGGGGTGGAAAGACAGAGGCAAACGCTGAGGGAAGCTGAGGCAGAGACAGGTGTGTCTTAGCAAGTAGCATATGGGGAGGCAGTGGAGGGAGACGGCCACAGAGAACAGGAAAAGACCACGGGTCTCCACTGCTCTCCGCAGTGGCTGTGGCCGCCTGAGCTCAGCTCCGAAACGCCAGACGCATGTAAGTAATTATAGACGTTTTCTCTGGGCAGAGCCTGCCAGACTGCTTCCTGTCTCACCCTCACATGCACCTAATGGAATTAAATGTGACTCCACTGCAGTTCCGTGCAGTGACTTACGCTGCCACAGTCAATAAAACCCGCTCTTGGACAGAAACCGGATTACGGGTCAGGGAAGGGTGGGCTGTCCGCGGAGACACCTCTGATCAGTCCCTGAGGGGCAGGGCGCTTCCTCACCGCTCCTCTCTTCATTGCCACCAATTTACCCACCACTGCCACACTGCAGCCCCCGTTTCGGATTTGTTATTTAGACCAACTTTGCCTCAGACCCTCTGACATTGAGGTAGCAGCATAAAAGTATGAGGCATGGAACCCAGAGCAGTTTTTAAAACTAGACATTTTCTCTGGCATCTGTCGCTAAAAGCGAATCATCCAGCTGTTGGGGGGGTGGAGGGTGCAGGGGTGTGGTCCCTCCCTGCCTGCTGCCCTCTACAGGAGGCACGGGCAGTGCAGCCTCCCACCGTGGGGGTCTTACCTTACAAGGGTGAGGGTCCACTCCGTATGTCTCCAATGTCTGCGCTTTTCTTAAAAAGTTCAGCTCTGATGTTGCTGGTGTTTGACCACTGGAATAAAGAAAATCAGATGATTTCAGGTGGGGCAAATTATTAAGTGCTCAGGATAAGGCTCACACCACATTTTTTCCAGAGCACACTCTCTGCTCTGTTCTAGGAACAACTGCAGAGATTCCTGCCTAGGATCAAAAATGCAGATGTCTTCAGGGAGAGGCAGGGCAAGTAATGAATGACATGAACTGAGGGTAATACAGCAGGGACAGGAGGGGGCTGTGGCAAACTGGGGAGGGCCACCCCATCTAGTGTGGGCAGCTGCTCCTCTGCCCCGAGACTGTAGCCGTGGGAATGCAGTGCCCAGCACCGCGAGACAGAACTTTTCATGAGAAGTCAGACCGCCCAGGACTACCAGGTGCTGCAGGCCTTTGCCTCACTCCCCTTTTGCTCTTGCCCCAGCCAGGCCACAGACACACAAAAAAACACACATATGGGCACACACACGGGCAAGGCCACACCCCACAGATCAAGGGTGCTCACGTCTCTTTCTCCCTTGGGGGGGAAATAAATAAATAAGCAAACAAACAAATAAAGAGAAATCAGAGATACTGTTTTTATGTGGTATTTCATGACCTAAAATATTATAGGGGCAAACAAATCACACCTGTCGCCTGGCTCAGGCCACAGGTTTCTCATCTGTCATCGGATCTAGACTGAAATATGAAGAAGGGGCCTGTCCATCTTGCTGCTTCGCCTAACCCTCTTCCTTTACCAAGAGGGAACACGGGAATGGAGGTGACGAGATCTCCAGCAGGAGATGGTGTTGAGCTCCCCAGATGCCACTATGGCTCTGTGTGTCCACAGGCGGTGACTATGAAAATGGAACGAGCAGCAAAGGAAGATACTGGCCCTGGCACCAAGCCATACAAAGAAGGGGCCTTTGGCAGTGCCATCCCCCTCCCGGCTGCCCTTTGGTGGGTGTGTAGAGGAGCTAGACACAGACCACAGCACTATCACCACTGTCAGGCTCGCAGGACCCAGAGTCCTGGCAAAGCAGACATACTTCTACGGATGTCGGGGTGGCTTCAGGGTGAGGAGGGACGGGCAACTGGTTGTCCAGATTCCCTCCAGGGTCCCTCTGGAGAGGCAGCAGCCAGGCAGCACCATGAGTGCCAGCCTCTGTGCTGCCTGTGGTGAAAGGCACCAAGATGTGCCGCACACAGTGTGGGCCCTTGAGGAGCTCCCGTTAGAGTTGGAGAAAGGAAACACAGACACGTTTCTACATAGTGAAGATGAAGCTGAACCCGTGCAAGCACTCCTGTGTGCAGTCATTATGTCCACAGCAGACTTCTACATCCACCAATGGGCTGAGACGCAGGGGCGGGGTTTGGAAAATGCTCTGCAGTTGGCCAAGGGCTCGGCCCCTAGCTCCATTCACCTCTGAAGGTGGCCCGAACCTCTGGGGGCCTCCAAGCGGGCATCATCTTCCTGGGGGATCTCCAACCTTCTACCAGGTTTCTGAAGGACTGCCCCCCATCTAAAACCCTACTGGCTGTGCCTCAGGGGAGTCCCAGCACATCCCTTCCACATGCTTTGAATGAATCCTGAGCCCTCACACAGGTCTGTGTATTCCGACCTTGACCACAAGGGGCCGCTATTTCCCCAACAGAGTGATGGGAGGAGCGGGCCTCTGGCCGGTCTCACGGGGAGAGGGGTGGGAAGCTGCTAGGCTAGGGTTCCAGTTTTGATAGGTGTCTCCGTGCCTCTGGGAGGGTCGGGAACCAGTCCCGCCACACGCAGTGTGCAGGAGCTCTGTTTACAGTGGCTACGGAGGCTGTGGGGACTGTGGGGACATGTTTGTTGCTAAAATCTTTGAGTGAAGGGGGAGCAACGGATCTGGGTAGAGACTAGTTTAGGCTTACTATTATCGTTAGAAACATCTTTTACCCCCCTCGGGAATTTCTTCCCCAGAATGGCAGTTACACAAACATTTTAAAAGACTTTTTAAAATTATAATATATTGATACAATAGCATGTTTTATTTTACAACAATGCGTTGTATGTATCATTTTTCTTCGTAGTTTATCAGTTCGGGGAATCGGGGCTCCAGCATGCCACACAAGGTGGAGCCCAAACATCCTGTTTGTGTGTTTTTTTTTTTAACCAGTCTCAGTAGAAAATCCTATCTCATTCTGGTGAAAGGATGGGTGCGTTGATGCTATGTGATGAAATTAGGAATATTGTGGGTGAACTAAGAATCTGCGGAGGACAAGACTCCCGCTTCCAGGTGTTTCTCTCCTCCCTGCACAAGGGTGTGGGGCTGAGGCAGTGCTGCAGGCACCGCCCCGGGCTGAGTGCTCTCACAGCACCCACAGTACTGGTACCCTGAATCAGCCCAGCGGGGGCAGGCCCACCCACTGACCCGGAAGCCCCCTGAACACTGTCTCAGACTGAGGGCAGAGGCTTGCTCATTTTTCAATCCCCACTCAACCCTTCCTCTCTAATCTTTTTTTCTTTTCTGCTGTTTATGTTTTTCTTTTCCTTCTTTCTTTTCTGTTGTTTATGTCTTTCTCTTCCTTTTTGTTCATGCCTTTGACCTCTGTCTCTTCATTTTTTCTTGGTGAAGCAAATACCTTTCAGGCCAACAACCCCCATCTATTGTCCATATGATACAACATCTCTCTTGCCTTTGAGAGCGAGCCCACGGGCTTGGTTGCAGTCACTGAAAATGGTACATCCTGAGTCAGGAGGGTCAGGCTGTGCGGGGGATGGTGTCCCGGCCTTGGACCGAGCGTCACTCACCTGAGTTCTGTCTTGTGAATCTCAGCAATTTTCCTTTCTAGCTTCTCTGAATGTTTAGGGAAAAACTGGAACTTGGAGCTGTAGCCTTCAGGGTGTTTCCCCGGGTCATAATCTCCAATCTCCGCTGGTAAAAGGAAGGTAGAGGAAAACAATGGTAGAGATTGGCAAAGCAACAAGATTCACACACAGAGCAGAAGTCAAAGCAGGCAGCAGATTTACAAAGAACCGAGGATCTCGAGCCTGGCTGTGGGTCGGCGGAGGACGTGTGTCTCGGGAGCACGCCCACAGTCGTCTGCCCAGGCGAGCACACTGGGTCGATGTCAAGGCTGAGCAGAGAGATAGTAGAGCTGACTCTGTGTTCTGAGGGCACCACAAGTAAATTTGCAATAAAAGAGAGAGGTCTACACTGCTGTCCCCATCCATTTGGTTATGAGAGGAAGGCCTGGGAGCAATGCTCTTTGTGGTAACACAGGACACCAAGCTTGATCAGGAAGACAGAGAACCCCTGGGCCTGAGTCAGATCAGAGAAAGTCTCGTTCTGACTCTGACGATTTTAGCGCAGACACAGCAAACTGATGAATAAGCCATGATGCAAATTCAGAACTCAACTCTCAGTCCAAACCAAATGGAATCACGTGAATAAACATCCACTGAGGGCTGAGCAGGTGCCAGGCACCCTGGAGAGGATGGCAGAGTGGGCAAGACTGGCTGTAACCAGAAAGTGCCATTGAGATCAGCAGCTCCAGGTCCTGAGGCTGACTTCTCAGCTCCCTGCATGGGGTGGGGCTTTCCTCCCAGAGCCCGTCCATCCCTACAGCTCCTAAGCTCGCAGATCTTACAGCTTCGTGGGCAGGGTGGCGGTGGGCCCATGGTGGTCTCCACAGTGTGCTCCTAGATGAGAACCTAGCTTTGTCTACGTCAAGTACTCTACAAGGAGCACCACGGGTACACGAAGAGGAAGGGTGGTAGGAAGCTGTAGCTGCTCAGTGGTTGCCCGTTCTCCTTCCCTAGTGAGAACCACATGCAGCACAGAGAGAAGTCGGTGTGGGCTCCTCTCACGGTGGTTTAACACCGTGCTTCCAAACACTTGGGGATTTCTATTATTAAGCAGGAGACTAAAGGCTTCCCTGGGCTTAAAAGTTCAGAGTGACCTTGAGCCATGGACTCATTTATTACGATTTTATTTAGAAAGCTCCAGATGGAAAACGTTGATGTTGGATTTCAATTTCTTTAAAGAAAAAAAAAATGAAAATTCTAATGTGGTTGTCAGGGTAAACTGAAGGAAAGGCTGGAGTTTAAAATTTCACTTAATCCGAACCAGACTCTCCTTTAAAAATGAAAGGAGCCTCTTTGGGTACCTTAGGGTTGGCAAGCACCTTCCTGCTTAGGTGATTTTTAAAAACAGGAGTCTCAGAAGCCAAAGTTTTAATGGGCTGACTTTTACATTCATAATGTACCTGCGATATCACTCTCGCCAGAAGAACTTTAGTTTGCTGGCAAGGATCTTCCAGGTTCTCTTCATAAAGTAGCTTCCTGAAGTTCACAGGTTTCTAATTAAGAGTTCACACTTTTTGGTAGAAATGTCATGATTTTAGTGTTATGGTCCCAAATAATCCAGTGACAGTTTCAGGCCTAAGGACCAAAGTCATCTAGGGAGTGGCACTCAGAAGACCCTTGCATTTCATGAGAGGAGGAGGGGTTGTATATGATGAGTGCTTCCCTTTCCCACCGTTTTTGCAGAAAAAGCCAGTCTGGGCACCAGCTGGGCCAGATTCAACTCTGCCTTATTAGCATGTTAGGAAATGTGTTTCTTACTCAGAAACATCTTCAACTCTGAGCACTCAGAACGGAAAGCGCTCTGAAATAGACACCAGAATTCCAAGATGCTTCTCACATCTCTGAGATTCGCATCAAAGGAAAAAATGGATTCAGATTACTCTCCAGAGTCTCGGTAACTTTATCAACCAAGGATGAAAAAACACCCCAAAAGCAGCGAGAATGACCTAAAAGGCTGGCACAAAGGTTGACGCCTCAACCCCACCCTCAGGTACAGGGTGGGGTTGAGGGGTCAGAGCCTCCTGGGTCTAGGGAGTCAAGGCGAAGCCCACTAATTTGGACTCCACTTCAAGTTAGATATATCTGCGTATATGCAAGAAGTAGTCATCTGTGGTAACTGAAATAATGTGACCAGTAGTTAGCATGGAAAGCCAATTTATCCTGTCCAAAGTCATTACCTTGAAGGATGTAAGCCGCTAACAAGGCAGCATCTGATGTCTTGCAGAGGAGGCGACCGTGGTAGAGATCCCTTTTGATCTGTAGGAAGACTAAATACCTGGAGAGAAAACAGAGTGAACTGCAAAGAATTTCTTTGCTTTAAAGACAAAATCTCTGTCAGGACACTTTTACTACATTAAAAAAAAATAATCTCAAAACATACCACAGAACAAATACATTTTCCGTTTCCCTAAAGGCTCTTTCAAGTACTTTGCCCTGAACTGATTTAAGGTTCAATTTGAAACAGCCTGTCAGTTTCTTTCCGTAGCTCAAAACAGAATGGCACGAGCTGGTAAAAACACTGCTCCCCCAGCGCTGGACTTTGGAAGGAGCCAGCCCAGATGAATTCAGTGCCAAAAGAAAGAAAGCCTAAACAAAGGTTGGTAAGGATGTGGAAAAAAGGGAACTGCCATGCACTGTTGGTGGGAATGCAGGTTGGTGTAGCCACTGTGGAGAACAGTATGGAATTTCCTCAGAAAAGTAAAAATGGAACTGCCAGTCCTGGCTGGTGTGGCCCAATGGATTGAGCACTGGCCTGCGAACCGAAAGGTCGCTGGTCCTATGCCCAGTCAGGGCACAAGCCTGGGTTGTGGGCAAAATCCCCAAGTAGGGGGTGCACGAGTGGCAACCACAGATTGATGTTTCTCTTCCTTTCTCCCTCCCTTCCCCTTTGTCTAAAAATAAAATACATAAAATAAGTGGAACTGTCACTTGATCCAGAGATCCCACTTCTGGGAATATAGCCCAAGAATCCCAAAACACCATTCAGAAAGAATACATGCACCCCTATATTCATAGCAGCATTATTTACAATAGCCAAAATCTGTAAACAGACTAAGTGCCCATCAGTAGATGAATGGATAAACAAGATTTGGCACAATTATACAATGAAATACTATGCAGCTATGAAAAAGAAGGAACTCTTACCCTTTGAGACAGCATGGGTGGACCTGGAGAATATTATGCTAAGTGAAATAAGCCAGTCAGAGAAAGACAAATACCATATGTGACTCATATTAGAATCTAATGAACAAAATAAACTGATGGACAAAATAGGACCAGAGGCAAGGATACATGGAACAGACTAACAGATCTCAGAAAGGAGGGCAGTGGAGGACTGGAAGAGATTAGCCAAAGGACATACATGCATGTACGCAGAGCCCATGGACACAGACAACACTGTGGTGAAGATGGGGGGGCAGGGGTCAAAGGGTGGGGAGAAATGGGGGTCTTCTGTAAGAGTGTCAACAATAAAACATTTTTTGAAAAAAAAAAAAACCTATATCAGAAGAGAGGGGCCAGCGGGGCCTCCCTCCACCTTGGACTCTGGTTGATGTTCCTTTTTAAGAAGGGCATGGCGATGAAGGAACTGGCCCAAGGAAGAGTTGTGCCTGGGCCTGTCAAGAGCATTTGTCCACCCGCGGAACAGCCTTCAGTCACTGGCAGAGGCCAGGCAGACCGATCAGAACGGGGTAGGGTGTGAGAAGAGGCACGGGCGAAGGCAGCACAGAAACTGCAGCTGGCGATTCTTCGCGCACAGGAAGCTCTCACCTCAGGTGGAAGCAGGGTGTGAAGAGAAACAGCTAATGGCAGCAGACAGGTAGGGAACACTCACTGTCTGCCAGCCCAGAGGTTATGCACTTTACATGCAGTATCTCACCTCAGTCTCACAAAACACTTTGAGGTAGGCACTGTTAGTACCCCCCACCCCCGCCCCAGCTTTAAAATAAAGAAACTGAGGCTCCAGGGGTTTTCACATGGGCACACAACTGGTAGGGGGCAGAGCCAGGACTCAAATTCAGGACTGTAGACCTCTCAGGCCAGCCCTCCATCACTGTGTTACACTGGCCCTCCTGGCACTACAACTGCTTCTCGGTTTCACAAGCAGTTGGTGGGCCCTGCCTCAGTAGAATGGAATTGTTGACTTTCCATTTTGAAAATGTCTTTACAAGGAGAGGGGTCTGTTCATAACCTCAGTGGCACCCGAGGAAGAGCAAAAGCCAGGGGTAGCTCACCCTTCAGTGAGTCACCTACCACAGTGGCTCCTTGGCCGGGGGGGCGCCTCCACGCAGTGGAGGTTTAAAAATACGTCTGTCAATTCTTTGCTACTCCTCGTCTCCAGAGGTGGAGCCTAGTCCCTTCCCTTTGAGTGTGGGCTGGACTGAGTGACTTGCTTCTAACAAACAGAACAAAGCCGAAGTGGTGGTGCCACGTCTGAGACTAGGTCATAAAGTCACCGCATCTTCCTCCTCGTTCTCTCTTTCTCACTCATTCTGCTTGAGGGCGCGTAAGCAGCCCTTTAGAAAGGTCCAGGTGCTGAGGAACTGAGCCCTTTGCCAACAGCCAGCAAGGCAGTGGCACTTTCTGCCAACAGCCACGTGAATACACCATCTCGGCAGTGAATCCTCCAGTCAAGCCTTCGGATGACTGCAGTTTCGAGAGACCCTGAGCCGGAACCACCCAGCTAAACTGCCCCGGAATTCCCGACCCACAGGAACTGCAGGGTAATAAATACTTGTTAGTTTAGGTTAGGCTTTGTGGCACTTTGTTAGACAGCCATAGATAACTACAGCGTCCCCAGGGGAGTAAGGAAATAGTAAAATTCCTGTAAATGCTACGAGTCTGAACCAGAAAGGAAGTGGGGCCCTCCCTGGGCAACTAGAGGCTTCCACTGCTTCTGTTTCAGGCTGAAGAATGAAACAGAGGAGTCCGGGCTCCCTTGATCACTGACAGCGCAGCTTCCGGGGTGAGGAGGGGCCCCAGCAGGTGACCCTGAGAGCCTTGGGCTCGGTGATTCTAGTGATTAACAAACAGAAATTATGGAGCAGGCAAACCTCCTCTCTCCCAAGGCCTTGCTGCCCAAAGTGTGGCCACAGTTCAGCACCACCCGGGAGCTCGTTGGAAACGGAGGCCCTTTGGCTTGTCCTAGACCTGCTGAATCATTTTAACAAGATCGCAAGTGATTTGTATACAGAATAAGGCCTAAGCATCCTTCTAACCACCTCAAGATGGACTTCCCTCCTCAAAACAAGGGCACGGTGAGCAGTACAATCTGCAAGTTAGCAAGGGCTCCCTTTGTCACCTCAGCCACCGTCACCAGCACCACTCTGCCCCAACGTCTGCCATGAAACACTGAAGGGAAAAGAAACCAGGCAGAATGGGATATTGAGAAGGATCTACCAAACCAAGCTCGTCTTCACTCTGCTTCCCACGGTGAAATGCCACAGGTGTGTGGGAGAGAGGGAGAGGAAGGGGAACGGAGGGGTAGATGGGGAGAAGGCTTCTCTGCCTCTTGCTGTGCCCAGCTCCCACTTTCCACAGGCTCTGGCCACATGTGGAAGCAAACCTTTCATCCCGTACTCACTGTTCACTCCTCCCACACCTCTCTGCCTATCTGCGTCCGAAATTCAGGGACTGCATACACTGCACTGAAGGAGGTATTTCAAAGGGACTATAAGGCTCTGGGCAGTGATTCTCAACATTGTGGCTGTTAGGAGAACATTCCCCAGAGGAGCAAGTCAGAATCCATGTGTGTATGGGTGCTCCTGGGTTGGAAAAAGACCCTCCAGAGCCCTCTGCCCAGGGGGGACATGCTCCTCCTCACACTGAGAACCACTTATCTATATGAGGCACCTTTATTGATGGGTACATGCCAGGTGCCTCAGGTGAACTGGAAAGGAAACAAGACTTCCCACTGAGGGGTGGGGTTTCTTCAGACTTCTGGAGGTAGGACAGCTACAGGGAGGTCAAGGGTAAGGCCAAAGGAACATTGCTAGGCAATGGCGCAGCAATTGGAGGGGGAGGGGAAGGTAGGGCAAGTCAACATCCCAAAGAAACAAACCAGACTTTAGCGGACAAGAAGAGATGAGCTCATGAAAGGCTCCACTGGCAGCTTCGAGGTAGACAGTTGCACGAGGGCCCCCCTTCCTTTCCTGCCACAGTGCAGCGTCTTCCACCAAGATGCACATTTTGTTCACTTATGGAGGTAACCAATGACTCAGTGTTGTTGGTCATGAAAATATACCCCATGTGATTCACTGCATCCTTAGGTCTCTTCTCAAGAGACCCCAGCATGTCCCCTCCCGCCACACATGGCCTAAGGGAGACTATCTTGTGGCCCAAGACATTGCCCCAGGGTCACTGTGTTGCCCGGCAAGGGATCAGCTTCCTGGGCCACCTAGCCTGGCCAGCTCCTGACGAGCAGGCTGGCTGGGTTACCCAACCCCGGAACCCCGGGACCCCAGAACCCCAGAACAGGAGTCACAGAGCCTAGTCCCCTCATTCTGCAGCGGAGGAAGAAGTCCAGACGTGTAGAATGACTTGTCTGAGGTGACAGTGACCTCACTCAGGGCCCAGCGCTTCTTCCCCCCACGGTGATTCAGTTAATTATCAGGTTTGGGAGGGGGGTTCCTAAATGAAGTCAGGAGAACGCTGCCATCAGAAAGAAATCCTCAAGGGAACCAAACAAGAAATTAGCTTTAGATCAGATTTAAGACAACAAGCTTGCTCCTTTAGGACACTTTTTTGGGAAAACTGTGCCCACCTCCTCTGGCCGCAGGAGGCATTACCTCACCCCCATTTTCAATGTGTGCTCTGTCCTGTACTGACGGGGGTGTGAAAAGGTGAGAGCCTAAAAGACAACTGAGGAAATCCTGAGTTTTTCTGTGACACGTACATCTCTTCAAGGTACCGGCTTTGGCGTTATGCTTTCAGTATCAGAAGGTGGGGTGAATCCATAGGTGTTTCTGGAAATAAAGGTTCTGAGCCTTGACAAGCACTGGCAGCTCCTTTAGAGTTTCTTCCAGAAGATCCTTCGGCCACACCCTCCCTTCATCAGATTCTTTGCCTCTGGCTTCCTCTATTTTCTACCATCCTTTTCCCTCCAGATAGTCGCGCTTCGTCTGTCCTCCTCGATACTAGACGGCAAGCTCCTTGGAATCAGAGACTATATTTCATTCACTTTAATGTTCTCCCAGAGAGCACACATGCCCTGTGTCCAGCTCCCCTGCTCCCCCTGCCTCCTACTGGCCACCCAGCCGTCTAGCTGTGCATGCACCTGTGCCAGGCAGGTGCTGGGGGGACAGCAGGGAAGGAGACAGAGTCCCTCCTCTTATGGCACCTACATTCCAGTGAGAGAAACAGGCAACAAGAACAACACAACGAAACGATGATGATGATCTGCTGAGTGCGTGCTGTGCACCACGCACTGTGCTCTTTAATACCCACCTCTCCTTCAGTTCTCACAGCAGCGAGGTGGCCGTGAGGTGACCACCGCTTTGTCCCTGTCTCACAGAAGAGGAAGCCGAGTGGTCCGAGACACTGCTGCTTGCCTCGTCACACAGCTGGTTAAAGAGAAACCTGGGATGTGAACCCAGGGGTTTTGAATGCTTTTTGATTCCTCAGCCTAGGGTCTGTGAGGGCAGCTTGCCACCATGGTTTCCAACGAAATAAAATACAATTTTGTTGGAATGCAGACGTGCTCATTCCTTCACGTGTCGTGTGTAGCTGCGTTTGTTATGCAGCGGCAGAAACGAGTAGCTGGGACAGAGGGCACACGGCCCGCAAACCCCACAGTGCTCACTACCAGGCCTTTCCCAGAGAGAGCTGGCCAGCCCTTCTCAGCCGAAGCTGGGCTCCAGTGATACTCACGGAAGGGATAAATAACCTGGAAACTCCTGCATGTATTAGCTCATCCTGACACCAGTGTTTTGAGCACCTGCTCAAACACGTGTCGGGCAGCGTGTCCTTTGGGAGACGGGGCCCCATTTGCACTCACTTTCTATTACTTGATCTTTCCACAGGGTTCGTACACCTGCGGTCCCTGTTAAAGGCTAAATCTGGTGCCTAATCCCCATTTTCTCTTTGTCTTCAGCTCAGACAAGAAAATCTGTTTATTACTTTAAAAATGACAAAAGAGATTAACCAGGATTTGGCAACTAAATTTATCATCTGGGAAGAGTCCAAGAGATAATAAATGGAAGCACAGTTCTTCTCTCCCTACTTCATCCCCTCCTCTCGGCCTGGCTTTGTGGGAAAGGATGAGATGGCGGTGAAATTTAGGACCAATATTGCTGGGAAAAAGCCCACTGACAGCTAAATTAGTTTGGCAGTAAAGTGGTGTGGAGGGCTCTAAGCCAGGAATGAATCATGGGTATTGAGTAGGGCCGGGGCAGATACCTGCTCCCTGAAGATCAGCAGGGATGTGAATGAGCAGCACAATGCAGCTAATTCTAAGGCCTCCTCTGAACACTTTGCCTTGGGGGAGGGGCAGCAGGAAGACTCCAGACCAGGCTCAGGCACCCTGTGGCTCACACTCCTGACAAGGCTTGCAAACTGCATTCAGGGAAGAAAGGCTGGTGTGATGCACAGTCCGGGGGGCGGCGGGGGGGGGTCCCCCAGTAGTCAAGGAGGGTCAGCCCGAGTGTGTGCTGGTGGGGGAGGAGCTCACAGGCTTGTTGGTGTCCTTGAAGTTAGCCAACTGGCTGAGAGGCCCAGCCATGTTCCTCCTGCTGTGCTGACCAGGACTTGGGCGATTACCTAAGATGGCTTTCTCTCTGAGTTCTCAGAAGGTAGCTGCTTAGGTGTTAGGGACCCTTGCTGGCAGGGAATGGGGACAAAAGAGGTGTGGGGATTATCAGAAAAGAAGTACCTTTCACATAAACCGGGGAGAAAAGCCAGAGCTAACTGTACTTGTGCCCCGTAAGCACAGCCCCTGGGCCATGGACCACGTAATCAACCTGGCAGTACGCAGACATCGAGCCTTTGCTCAGTGTAAGTTGTATGGGGTGGGGTGGGGGGGTGGGGGGGTGGGTGGTATTAAGAAGTACAAGACTGTATATAGTGATTAATCCTCCCAACAATTCTAAGAGGTAGCTATTACTATCCTCATTTTATAAGTGAGGACTCTGAAGGCCAGAGAGGTTAAATATCTTGTGTCCAGGACCACGTAATCAAGACGCGACAATTAGAATCTGAGCTCTCAAGTCTATGGTGCTTCCTGGGTAGGCGGGTCGGTGCATTAGTGTTATGCAGTGACATTTGGTTTAGGAAAGTGTGTTGTTAAGAACTCCTCCTAAGGGCCAAGATAATCATATAATTTTGTCCTTGAATCAAATCAGAAAGCCACGTGTCCCTGGTGCTCTCACTGGGGTGTATGAGGCCAATCCTCACCCCATTATTGGTCAGTGAGGTGCAGACGTGGCAGCCCTGATGTGTGGTGGTGGGAGGTGAAGTGCCAGGCTCTCAGCAAAGGTGTGTTAAATTTGGTCTGACGTGGACAGGGGCATGGCCTTCTGGGTCTGCCCTGGCATCCTCACCTGTTTCAACAGAAAGAGCGAGGGGGAGAGGAAAGGAGACGAGAGGAGGGAGGGGAGGGGAGGAAGGGCTCAGAGCTCAGGCGAACACTCTGGAGATCGTGAGCGAGGCAGGCTTTGCTAAAACTCCTCTGTGGTGAAACCCTCACTGTTCTGTCTAAAACTATAGGACAGCTTATTAATATGGATGAGCTTGGTTTTTAGAAGCAAAGTGGGAGCCATGTCCGCTTTCATGTGGGTGAACAGAGCCCGTCGTTTCTCTGTCCAGCAAGGAACACGAGGTCTGATCCCAACCACACACCCCACAGCCTTGCTGCGCACTGCTCCCTGCCCCCGACCCTCGGCCAGATGCTAACACCGCCCTGGCCCTCCCCTGGGGCCCACGGAAGAAGCCACTTTCCTCCCTGTCCCACTGCTTTGCTCTGTTTGTGCTGCTTGTTCCTATTTCTTGCCCTCTTCTCTCCCCATTTTCTCATTTTTCTTCTCTGAGGAACTTTTGCTCCTTTTACCATTGTAAAGGTAGTAGCATGCTCTTCAGAACACGAAATGAAAAATAATTCCATAGTCTTCCTTCCTTCCTCCTTCCTTTTCCCTTTTGATTTTCCCAAGCAGTTCAGAATCTAGAGGTAGCTCTCAAGGCCTTCCAGGGCAGTCTGCAGGACCGGTTACGGCCCCTCCCAGTGGGTGCTGCCTCCCAGGTTGCAGGGGCAGGGGTGCGGAGCTGCTCCTTTCTTCCTTTCTCAGCTCTAGGATTTCTTGGCGTGACCTCTTCACAGGTGGCCCCACCCCCTCCAAGGCAAAATCAAGATTTTGTTTATATCAATGTTAGGTCTTTCTATAATATATATCACTTCTCGGCCTTTTGGCTAAGATCAAGTGTAGATCTTTCTAATATAAAAATTAAGGATGCCTGTTAAATAGAGTTCGTAATGAGGCAATACTTTTAGAGTGAATTTGGCTCAGAGATACAAAACCCTGGGGAATCTTTGAAGCTCCTATTCATCAACCCTCTTATAGGATGGCTGTGGGCAGAGAGGTTCTTTCTCATCCTCAAGTGGTGCTGGATGAGATGGGATCCAATCCCTGCACCCGCCTGCTCTCCACAGAACAAAATGCCCACAATGAAGGGTTTATCACGGACCCGAGCCATCAGCACGCTGGAGTGTACCCACTCGGATTTAAAATCCTCAGTATTTTCCAGCTTGTTTTTCAGTGTTGTGCTCTGGCATTGCCCAAGGACACTAGGTCACTGGAGTCTGTTTCCATCCCCCTCAAAAGCAGCAACACAGCCCTCTCCCAAAATGTCCACAGTGGCCACATCACAGATAAAAGAAAAAAATGCATTTGATTAGTTACTCCAGGTTCCTTTGAGGGTGATCAGTTCAAGGTGAAGTATTCACACTTCTTGAAGAAAGATGCTCACTCTGTCCTACTTCTGCTGAAGGGGTGAGCAAAGAAAGCATGTGGAAATGAAATATGAAAGAAGTAAGTTTATATTTAGGAAGAATTCCTTGCCTATAGGAGTTAGGAGCTTCCAAAACAGAGGATCTGAGAGGTTTAGTCCCTCTCTCCTGTCCCCCCGACAGGCCTCAGTGGCTGAGGGAGGTATGCTTTGCCTCACCTGGTTATTTCTTCTCTCAGGGCAGCAGGGTCTGCAGGGTAGAACTTCACTCGGAAACACATGGTGAATGGGGGCTGGGCTGCGGAGAAAAAGAGGTGCCCATCAGGGAAGACCCTCTGTCCCAGAGACGACTGGGTGCCCTTCCCCACCAGGATGCACGGGCCTCTGAACACTCAGAAAAACCCCTTAGATGCTCAGGGCAACTTCGACTCAGCGCAGTGGAAAACCACCAAGACTTACTGCAAGTGGGACGTTTCATCCCACCCTCCCCAGGGCAGGGCTTGAGTCTTTTCTTGGAGGAACTTACATCTTAATTGTTTCACCACAGACTTTGTGAACTCCAACCAATGCTGAAACAGAGAACACAGAACAAGAAAACCCTAATGAGAAGCAGTGTCATATATAGCTTGTTTAATCCAATACAAATAACCAGACAGATTGTGTAGCCCAGGGTGAAAGCATCCCGAAAGCTTGAGATATGTGGCTTGGAGAGTAGAGAGTGATATGGTTTTCTGAAAAGTTTCCCGGGGAACCAGCTGTGAAGGGGAGAAGAGTTCCAGCTTCCGAGGCCATTTTTGGGCGTCCCTGGCAACGCCACCTTCCACAGTAGGGTGCCAAAGCCCACAGGAGGGTGCCCAAGTGCTGAGCCATGTTCTGGCACACCAGCAGGCACGAGTGAGTCCACGAACGGGTAATGGGTCAGACCCCACCTGGCGTGAGTAGGGAAGTACTGACTGTAATGGGTTGTGTGTGTTTGTGCTACACGCCAACATTTTCTTTTTTTTTGGCAGGGGAACCCAGGCTATTGGTAGCAGTTCTAGAAAGAAATGACAGATAGAATTTCATAAATGGTGCGAAGGCAGGGATGGCTGGTGTAGATTCCATTTTTGTTTGAGTAACAAGGATCGCCAAACTCTGGGTTAAAGACATGTGCTCAGGATTCTTTGGCATCAGGGGTGTTTAAAGTCCATCTCATAAGGTAACTCACCACAACCGATGTGTAGGATACTATCCTGTGTCCCTTGGAATTTCACAGAGGCAGGACACAGCAGCAATACATTTTTCCCATGGTACTTATGTTTAGGAAAGGAAGCAATGAGTCCATTCTATATCTGTTTCCCGGTTCTACATAGGTGCTTTAAAAAATGCATTACTGATGTACGCTGCTTTTATGCTAATGAGGAACCTCGACAATTTGCAGAGAGCTAGGACTACTGTTATTTGGGTCTGGTTTTCTGGAATAGTTTAAAACCATTAGTCACAAGGTCTGTGAGGGCAGAAAATGGTCTTGTTTACACTGTACTCCCCGGGCTCAGCACCGTGTTCAATAGGCAGCTGTCGGAGGGACAAAGGAACAGGGTCCACACCTCCTTCTTTTCTGGCTACTTCCAGTTAGTGTAACATCTTGGCAGAGTTCTCCCTTCGCAGGAAGGTGGGCAGAGCCATGCGGAGGGCATCCTGGCCTCCCTCGACTCCCAGCTCTCACCTTCAGTCTGGGCTGTGGGTCATGCAGTTAATGGACCCACTAAGAGCCAGTCCTCCCATCAGCTCCACGTGGATAATCTGTGCTGACATTCTGCTCTCTGGCTTCTTCTGATCTGGGTTCCCACGAGGCTGGCAACTCATTATAGCCACTCAACGTGGTTAAGAGGTCCTTCTCACATTACACGGCCCACCGCGGCTCTGCTTCACAGGGAAGCAAAGGCAAAAGAGGAAATTGCATGGAAACAACTGGGTTTCCAGGCTGTTGCCTGTGGAGGTGGAGGCGGCCCATCTGATCGGAGCACTCAGGAACTTTAAACCAGGAGAGGAACACAGCAGATGTATGGGACACGGTGCACAGTCAGCCTAGATATTCCACTGAGAGGTTTAAGTAAATAAACAAAGAAAGTTAGAACGGAAGAGGAATGACTGGTGAGGTCCATTATCGGCAGAAGCTAGATGGAGCTGAAGGACAAAAAGGTTATTCCGCTTGGCAAGAGCTCGGGAGAGAGCTGAGGACAGGAGTGAGGCTGGAGGAGAGTAGGAGGGAGGTGGGAAGGAAGTGGAAAGCGGGCACAACTTGTCCAAGAGATTTTAAGGGTCTGGTAGAGAAATCTTGAAAGGATCCCAAGAATATGGTGATGGCCAGAGTTACCGCTGGCATCCGTCTGCCTAAATCTGGGTCCTAGAATCTCTCAGCAAACTGATAATATGGCTTCAGGGATGAGGGATCAGGAGAAGAGGAAAAAGACTCAGAGAGGGGAGTTTGCTCCTGTCTTTGAGTGAATGGGTGGGCCAGTGTGGCAGAATATTCAGACTCCAGAGGCTAGAAAGGGTACCTCCACTTGAAAGGTGAGGCTGAGAGCAGGCTGAGGCCCTGGGCCTGCGCCAGGAACAGGGGAGGGGGTGACGGGAAGCCGGAGTGCCTGGACCCCACAGAGACCCCGGCAGAGCAAGCAGTGAGGGGATGGATGTGAGTGCTGGGTTCAGCATGTCTGGTGCCCCCGGGAGGAGGTTTATTTCATAGCCTTGCACTCTCGGGGAGCTGGGATCTTACCTTCCATCTCTACCATGAATCAGTAGACCTAGGATGACAATTCTTTACGGGCTCATTTCCCCACAGCTCTCAAGAACTCTTTCAAGCCTATCTGCTCTCCTTAACCCCTCCATAAAAATGTAGAGTCACAAAAATTTAGAGGCTCTCGGTTATGAATTCAACATGGAATCTTAGAAACCACATAGGCCCTGACTGGTGTAGCTCAGTGGGTTGTGCATTGTCCTGGGAACCAAAAGGTCACCGGTTCAATTCCTGGTCAGGGCACATGCCTAGGTTGTGGGCCAGGTCCTTTGTTGGGAGTATGCAAGAGGCAACCAATTTATGTTTCTCTCATGCATCAATGTCTCTCTCCCCCTCTCTCTAAAAATAAATAAATAAAATTTAAAAAAAATTACAGAGAAATCACATAGGCTCTGGGTCAGACAGGTCTGGGGTGGCGGCAGGCTTTGCTACCTGCCTTGGGCAAGTTACATAACCTGTCCGACACTTCATTTACGAATCCAGAGAATGGATCATAGAATCGTGGACACTCATTTTATTTGTGGTAAGGATTAAACAGCATGTGTGAAGCTCAGAGCTTAGTGCCTGCTGCAACTCAGCACTCAATATCCACCAGCCAAAAGACTCAGGCTCGTGCTCAGGGCGCTCGGAGCCCGGCACGCAGCGGCCACCCCAGGAGAGCTCACTCTTCCCCATTTCCTCATCACCTCTACACACTCCCCGACTCTCCTCAAGCACACGCTGACCCAACTTAAAAATAATGAACAGGACACACTTGCCCTTTGTTCTTCAGGTGCCACTCTCCTTGGGAGATGAAGAGATCTTAGGCTAACTGCCCTTTCATCTTAAGGAGAGACAGCTCAGCCCCAAATAATAAACAAATAAACACCCAAAAGCCCCTTTACAGAAACAGTCCAACAGCACACAGTGAGTGGACACCTACAGCGTGTGAGGACATGTCGCTGGTTGGTGTCAGAGCGCTTTTTAGAGTCTCACCCTGTGGTCCAGAGCTCAGGGCAGTGATTATGTCAAGACAGTGGAGAGTTTATAGGGTGAGGGGCTGACCTCAACACTACTTTCTAAATACCGATGATGCTCAACACTCTGCTGAGCAAGAGTAACGAAATGTCAGCCAAGCAGGGCAGGGCTTGTCAGAGTAAGAGATGCAGTTCTTCTGAGTCTTTCCTCAAATTCATGTGTTTAGCATAGAACCTAAATGGGACTCGGAGACGCAATGGCTCAGAGCAGTGACTTTTAACCCGAGTGCTGCAAGAAGTTTTAAAACATGCAATACCTGACTATTATTTAGTCAGGGGCACTGACCTCTTTTCTCTGGGATTGTCAAATAAAAAATGACAACAGCCAACACAACAATAGCTGTTGGGTGTGAATGAATCAAAATCATACCTATTTTTTTGTCAGATCAGCAAAAAACATAATGTATTTTTTGGTGTGCAGTAGAATTTTAGTAATTAGTTTATGTGTGCCACGAGATGAAAAATGTCGAGAATTGCTGGCTCAGAGCATCGAAGAATGTGGTGAGGGGCACCCGTTCGTTCATCGCCTGCGGCCCTGGCCGCCGCTGCGAGGCTGCACCCTCGGAGGCTTCCTCCGAGGTCCCCTGCTGGCAACAGAGACGAAGCCCATGTTTGGAGCTGTGAAGAAAATTAGTGCACCCATGAAAGGGGGCCCTCTGGGGCTCATGGTGCTCGTGTTTTTGGAGGTTGGTAGGCAAGACTGAGTGGTAGGCAGGGGTGCAGGGCAGGGAGACATCGAGGCCTGAATGCCTCTGTGTACTGCCCCACTTTCACGGGGACGGGCGCCAGAGAGTGCATCCCCACAGAAAGCAAAGGCTGACGGGCGGAGCTGTAGAAACTGCAGGTGTCTGCCAGTGGGCCACCTGGGCAAGTGGAGGGGGAGCACGGCACTGCGGACCACCAACTCGCCCACTCATCACTCCTTCAGCAGGTGTTTACTAAACATCCACCGCATTCTGGCCCCATGCAGTTCCACGGGGTGTCGTAACGAATGAGATCACGTCTGCGCCCTCATGGGACTTATATTTTTGCAGGGCACATGGACAACCACAGATGGTGTCATAAGTGCTGTGGCAGGGGTAATGCAGGGCACACGGGATACACAGGAGGGCCCCTCATTCAGGGTGGGGGTGAGGGAAGACTTCTGGAAGAAATGAAAGTCTAAGCTAAGACCTTATTGTGCAAGAAGGAGTTAGCCAGAAGAAAAGTGTGGAGTGTGGGGAATTGAGGAAAGGAAGAAATATTCCAGGCAGGGGGACCTGTACAGGTGAAGGCTCTGAAAAGAGGGAAGAACACCATGTCTGAAAGCCACAGAGAGTCTGACTGGGCCACAGCAGGGAGGAGACGGGCCGGAGGAGGTGAAGCTGGAAAGGTGAGTAGGGGCCCGGGCATAACGGACGAGTTCCTCCCTCTGTCAGGACAACACAGTCCTGTCAATGCCTGGGTCTGCCGAGCGGCCTGTACCGCGTAGCACAGAGTAGGAATCGCAGGATGTGTAAGAACCTGAAAGGCCTGTGCACTCTGGCCCCCTCTTCCCTCCCAGATAGGGGTGGTGTGGCACCTCAGGTGAGGCTCCTCCTAACCAGAACAATGTGGTTTGGCCCATTCACTAGAAAGTGGGCAGGAGAGGTTCAGCCTGTGACCTGGGCGCGGGGATCACAATGCTAGCCTGGCTGCTTTTCTGCCTCCAACTGGACAACTTTGGTCAAATCATTTCAGCTCTCCAGGCTGCCACTTCAGCATCTGTGAAACAGTGTGCACACTAGGTGAGCTCTGCTAATGTGTCTTCCAGGTCCCATAATATGATCTGAAGAGGTGACTCCCCACAGCAGGGTCTGGCTGGTCCCTGACTCCTGCGGCTAAGCTCTGAACATGAGTGGCCATTCAAAGCTTCTGGCTTACTGATCAACCCTCTCCTCCATTTGTGCATTGAATGGTGACTTACCCGCTGCTTATCTGGGTCCACAAAGCGGATCCCAAAATAGTCTTTCTCAAGTAGGTTCAGGTGGTGGCAAAGAAGGTCAAACAGGTACTGGCCTTTAGCATCTCTCTGCAAAGAAAGAAAGCTCCATTGAGAAATGAGAGTGCTTCTCCAGTGGAACTGTGTGTTGATGGTCATTAAAAATCATAACAGCCGTGTGAGGACAGGAAAGGGGCACCTGTCCACAACTATGTCCTCTGTATTGTGATACATTAGATATTCTCTGGAATTCTGAGGCTTTAGCACCTGAAAGGAGTCTAAGAACCCTTCCTTCCACAGAAATGTCAGGCAAGTCAGAGGAGAGTTAGGGAGCCCAGCTCTGGTCTCTGATGCACAAAGCTTTCCTAGGAAATGTCAGTGTGGAATACATCACATGCAGCTGCTCTGACTCTAAAGTACATCTGAAATCCATTCACTTCTCTCCATGCCCATTACCACGCCGCAGGTCAGCCACCACCACCTCTCAGCTGGACCGCGGCCGGAGCCTTCCAACCAGTTCTCTCCTCTCACCCTCTCTCCACACAGTGACCACAATTTACTCTTTTTTTGCTAAGTAAGTAATATAGGCACCTAGTAAGATATTCAAACATACAAAACAATACACTATGAAGTCTCCCTTCTACCCTAAGTTACTTTGTGCCTCAGTTCCTCCCCAAAGGATCAACACACTGTACCGGGCTCTTATGTATCCTCAGTGTGGTCTTACACTGTAGGCAACCCTGTGTGCACACATGCCTCCTCTTTTAAAAACACCCCAGCAGCACCTTTAGTACTGTATTCTATTTCCTGGGCCTTTCCCCATTTAGGGTTTCTTGCAAACCCTTCTGTAGCAGTATATATGTATAAGCCTCAGTTTTGTTTCATTTTTTTAAAGATTTTATTTATTTATTTTTAGAGAGAGGGGAAGGGAAGGAGAAAGAGGGGGAGAAAAACATCAGTGTGTGGTTGCCTCTTGCATGCCCCCTACTAGGATCTGGTCCACAACCCAGGCATGTGCCCTGACTGGAAATCGAACCAGTGATCCTTTGGTTCGCAGGCCTGCACTCAATCCACTGAGCTACACCAGCCAGGGCTAAGCCTCAGTTTTTAACCGCTGCATGCCACTGCATTGAACCTAAATTTATTTACCTGGCTCCACATTAATGGAATTTGTTTCTGACCTTCCATACAAACCATGTGGTGGTGAGCACACGATCATCTTTAATCACATCACCACTCCTGCTTCTTAACACTGTCAGTGGCTTTCCGTTGCTCTCAGAATACAGTGCAAACTCTGATCATGTCCTCCACAGACCTCCATGACCTAGCCTCTGCCTTTTCTCCCAACGTCTCCCGAATTATTCTCTTCACTCTCTGGCCACGCCTCTGTTTCTGAGCGCACGAAGGCTTTTCTGCCTCTGCATCTCTGTATTCCCTCTGGCCAGCACCCTCTTCCACCAGCTCTCCTCAAGGCCACTCCTGTCCTTGAGGTCTCAGCTCAAATGTCCTCTCTGCAGAGGGGCCCTCCCCTATAGAACATCCTTGCCCAGTTACTTTCTACCTCATTTGTCCTGTTCACTTCCTTCCCAGCACTGGCAGTAATCTGTAACTACCTTGTTGACTTTTACTTATTTATGCATTGTCTCCTCCCTTCCTAGGCTTTAATTTTCCTGAGGGCAGGAGCCCTGCCCTAGAACTTAGCACAGGGCCTGGCAGGTAGGTCCTCAATAATTACTTGTTCAGCAAATGAATGACTGAATGAATAGAAGGTAAAGGGTTAGCTAAAAGGTTTCACAAAATGTGAGGAAATGATGCCATTTCTAAATCCATAACCTTCTCCTTCAGGGACCTGCCTGCATATCTGGGATGAGCTGGGAAGAGAATGACTTGCAGGAAACTGTCAGAACATCTGGAGCTCTGCAAGGCTTCGCTCCGTGGGCCTGTCTCCAGTGGTCTCTGCAGCTGAGATACTCCTCTCTGGTGGCTCTGTGTCTAATTCTGCATTCAAATCAAGGTTGTCCTATAAGATCCAAAATATCTCATCTGTGCCAAGACCAAGGCCATAGGTAACTGCAGAAGGGCCTGGCCCTGCTCCACGAAAGGTTTACACCTCACCTCTGCCCTTTCTGCTGGCTCACCCTATGCTATACAAGGAGAACTGGGGCAGGATATCGAATCTCTCAGCAAATATCTTAACAGCTTATCCTTGAAGGATAGGAGGATGGGTAGTGGACAGATCATGCAGGCACCCCCACCGTCCCGGTGGCCCCACACTCCCTCCCACAACATAATCCTGAGGCCGTGTGCCCCTTCTCCCCACCACTCCACCCCTACCCCTTTGTTTCCCACCAGAAAGAGCTACTTTCAGGACAGAGGCTTGCTAGGAGTCACGGTGGGACTTCTGGGTGGTGGGCCACACACCAGGTCTTTCAAAGGGTTCCATCACCAACTGCTGTTTTGGGCAGGGCTGCCAACTGTGTCCTCACCCATGCCCCCCGAGTGTGGGAAAAGCTTTAACTCATTTTTAAGGTTCTTCAGGAAGCAGGAGAACTATGTTTAACTCTACCCCAAGAGGCACGTCTTGTGCAGTTATCTTTCTCAGAGCAACTGAAATGCAATATTAAGAGACGATTGCATGTTGTGAATATTTTTCTCTATAGATTTTACTTTGTACCAAGCTGGCTCCTACACTGTGACCAGCTGGGGTGAGTTAATGGCTGAAGAAGTTTGCTTCTAGACACACAACAACCATATTAGCAGAAGTGTGGGGCAGGCATGGGGAAAACGTGCTTCTGTGATGGAAATCACATAGGCTTTTTGTAAGAATCATGTCTCCCATAAAAACAACTCATTCTCACGGGCTGGCAGCTCAAACACACTTGTAGGGCTCCTAGCTGGTAAGAAATTTGGCAGGTCCAACCTGAATTCTCCCACCTCACAGGGAGAAAAACAATCAAGGCTTCTATAACTCTTTAGGTAGTTACATATATATTAAAAAAGACAAATCCCAGTACATATTCCCTATATCAATAAAAAAAAGAATTTTTTTGTTATTTTTCAGCATCTGGTGGAACCGCTGTTCCCCACCATGAAGTCACGGTTCCCCCCGGGTTCCCATTCACCAGTGGTAGACGCATCACCACTCTGAGAGAAAAGGCTCCTGTGTGGACTACTGAGGAGAAGCACCTTCCTTTGCTGGTTCTCCAAAGCTGGAGAGTGGGAGGTGAGGGGAGTGGTGAGAAAGGGAGGAACAGAGCTTCTGTGTATGGCAGAGCTCCATGAAGTTTAAATTCCCAGCAGAAACACAAAGGCAGCATCAACTCACACCCTGCCTCTCGAGTGGAGTACTCACGTCTGTGGCTGGTGGTGTGGCCTAACGCAGCCGTTGGGGGCAGGTCACAGTCACCTGAGCCATCACGGGGGCCTCCCTATGACGAGCTGCTGGAAGGGGCGAGGGTTTAGGATATTTAAACTTCCTGGCCTTGTGGGTCCCCTTGCACGTCCAGAGGCTGGCAGTATCTCATAACTTCCTGCCTGTGGCCTTCCTGTCCTAAGTTTGGGTCTTTCTGGAATATTCTGTGGCATCCAACCTCTTTCCGTTGGATGGCAAAGTCCAGTGAGTTCTATCTTCTTTCCCTTTGCCTGCAGTTGCCCTGCACTGTGGCTCACACATTGCCATGTGCTGAATGCTGTGCCATTGATTACTGAGGAGAAACGGGCACTCGTATTGACAGGTAATAATTGTCTGGTCACACCGTCAGGGCTCCGGCCTGAGGATGTTTATCTTCAGGACAAGGCAGCTGAGGCAGGCTGCCCAAACCCAGCTAAACCTCTGAGCTTATTCTCTTCCTAAAGTCATTGTTGGGTCAAAATAACTTATTAAGCACCCATTAAAAAATAAATTTGTACTTTATGAACCACAATAGTACCCACATATAAAGATATGAAAATAGTGCATATAAAGCAACTGTGAGAATAATAGTGTGTATAATTCACCTCTCCATACAGTGCACGGATGATCCATGGGCCTAAGAATCATTCTGTAACTCTGAGGTTAGGAGAATTCACATCCTTGCTCCTCCCTGGAGTGCCTGGTTCTGGTTCTCTATGGTTTGTCTATTCTTTGGGGAAGGGACCGAGGCAGCAAGCAGCAAGCAGGCTTGGGCCAGTGACCCAACCTCGTTAGTCAAGGTTAATTGCATTTTCTGCCTCCTAATCAACACTCTTGGGCTGGAGAGCACTTTTGCTTAAACCTATCATGGGGTCAATCCCAGGGACACTGGCAGGGTGCGTCCCCATCAGAGGGGCTAATGTGTAGGAAGTCCCCACTCACTGGGCCTTCCCTTATTCAATCTGACTTACCTGTGAGGCAGGCCAATTTTAAGAGCAAACTATGTGAATCTTGAAGAGGCCAAGAGTAAGCCCTCCTTTCTCAGCTCTTGGGCCACCTGCTGTTAAAAGGAGAGCTGGCCCTCGTTCCCAGGCCTGGCTGTAGACGAGGCAATGGTGGGACGGAGGGCAGGAGACTGTGATCACCTGCTGTGCAGAAGTACAGGAGTCCAGAGGTGGAGAAAGGCCTGGCCAGGATGGCGGTACATGGAAGAGGGGGCAAATGGTGTTCTCAGAGGGACCAGGTACTAGGGGTGGTGTGGCATCTCAGCCTCTGTTGTAGTTTAACTTTCTATTTAAATTTCCTGTAGGCCAAGACTCCTTTGCTTTCCTTATCAGTGTCCTCCAAGGGCACGTGAGTGCTGATATCTGCCAGTTCAGGAGCAGATGCTGTATAAAGCACTTTAATGTCACAGAGGAACAGCCATATTAGCTCATCTGCTCAGGGCCGTGGTGAGTAAGCTGAGTGGAGAGGTGTGAATCAATTACTACTGTGGACACAGAGGCAGTCCTACCTCTGTGTTCATGCCCCACACCCAGTCCAGCTTCCCCAGGCAGAGGGAGGGTAAGGGGCACTGATGCTAACAGCAGGGCCCCAGATTTCTTAACAGCAGCAGCTTCCATACTAATCTACATTTTCTTTGATGGGAGGGAACCCTTGCTGAGCTCCTGGCCCAGGAGCCCACTTTTCTTGCTTGGTC